ACTTTGAAGCTTTCTTTACTTACATTGCTCAAAAGCAGCATTCCCTTAGCACTAACATGACACACATTTTTTTCTTCCTCATAAATGCAACATGAGTGTTTGGTAGGCTTCCCAGTGTAAAATGATTTACAGAATTGGCCATGAGAGATGTGGGCCCCGGGAGAGCTCCTTTGCAAAGCCTGGAGAACATTGGCCTTTTCTGAAGCCTGGTTAATAATCCACCCAGCTGACATCTCTGTGGTTACTGTGGGCAGGCATACACTAGACATTTTATGAGTTTCCAAATAAATATTTTTGATTCAGCAAAGAAAAACTTTGATAAGGAGAAAAAATTAATCTTCCATGATTTGCCTAATCGTTTAAATAAACCTGCCAACTAATAATGCAGCAAGGTAATGAAGTAAATTTTTTGTAATTTTTATTATCTACTGATTATCAAGGACTATCTAAATATGTGTTTTTGGATATTATGGTCTATATATTTAATGAAATTGAAGATGGTTTAGACAGACTAAATTAAAAATGAAACAAGTACAGTCTTGACTACTTTGTTAATGGAAATACAAAAGTCCACCAGCTGTGACAGGTCACTCTTGCCTGAGGATCTGGTCCTCTCAGCCTGGACCACCCAGACTGTGGTCTTGAACCAGGGATAGCAGGGGAAGGTTTTGAATCTGGAGCAGCTGTCATAGAACACAAGTGTTTTATGGTAAGAAAGCCAGAAAGAGTGTAAAAAGTAATGGATCAGGCCAGAAGCAAAGATGTGTTTGGGATGACTGTGGTCATGGGATTCACCAACACCCGGGCTTCAGAGAGCTCTCATACTATACAGTGAAAAGTATGCCCAAGTTTCCTGAATAGTCAGAGTATGGTATAACATTACACTCTTTGTTTCATTAGTTCACCAAATTTTGTTTGCATGTTTACTGCATATTATGTGTTTAAAATACGTTATTATTGTCCTACAAACTTATGGCAAGTAGCTATTCTTATATCCACTGCCTAGATGACAAAACGGCACAGAGAGGCTAAGTATATCCTCCAAGGTCACACAGATAATGATGTAGAATTGGATCATAATTCTACCTGGGTGTCTGCCTCATCTGGCTGATCTCTATGAGTCCACTTGAGCTTGCATGAGATATGCCAAATAACATCTACTTTAGAGAAACTAGAGGAGCTGATGGTCTTCTTTTTTTTTTAATCCTCACCTGAAGACATTTTTGCATTCATCTTCAGATATAATGGGAGGGAGAGAGAGAGGAAGAGAGAGAAACTCGATGTGAGAGAGACATATTGAATGGTTGCCACCCACACAACCCGAACTGGGGCTGAGGACAAACTGCAACCGAGGTATGTCCCTTAGCGGGAACCAAACCTGGGACTCTCTGGTCCACAGGCCGATGCTCTAAACACTGAGCCAAACCATCCTGGGCAAGCTGATGGTCTTCTAAAGGATGATTTGAAAAGCAAAGATTGTTTGTATATCAGAAAAGTTCGGTTTTTTTTTAAACCAAAATGTAAATTTTTATTTATTTTTTCTTAGTTTAATATTTAAACTAGTTACCTTCAGTAGAGTGCAAAACCTCTTTGGGTTGTGCTATTATACCAGGTTGAATATATCCATGTTGGCTGTGCTACTCCTGAGTTAGTTTAAATGCAAAAAGGATCAAACCCCACTGGCTTTGGCTATTATTTAATTTCATACATTGCTATTTCTTGATAGAACTGTAAACTTTAAAGTATTATTGTGCCCTAGTTTAGTTGGTAGAGTTCCAGGAGGCAAGAAAGGCTCCCAAGTCACTCATGTGGAATATGGCATGAGAGGCTGCGTCCTTGTGTGATCCAGAGCATAAATTCCAAGGATTTCACTTCCCACTGTGAGGTGGCAGTTAGACCCCAGGAGGTCTACCCCCCACAGTGCTGATAGCTTCATGGATAATTTACCAAGGTTTACCTTTTCCCCACCAGCAGGAACACTAGGGCCAGTGCTTAATCTCTGAATGCATGTTAAACCTGGTCTCCCCTTCATTTATATCTCTCATCCCTAACCCTACTGGCCCTCAGAGTTGTATTTGGCCCTTTCCCAAGATTTAAGAGGTGCCTTTCTATCCTGCCATCCCAGATTGTATAAATATTCAGATTTACAAAGGACAGCCCAACCCAACATGGAACTTTGTCTGGTGGCGAGGATGCACTATATGTCCTCCACAAATGAGAGTCAGCTTGGTGTTCTTCAATCAGAGATACACTGAGACAGGCACCTGTGCACCAGCATCTGTGAGCACTTAGTAAGTGTCTCAGCACACTAAATGATCAAAGTAACCTTGGAGAAAATCAGCACAATTGGAATTCTGGGAGTTCAGTATTGGAGAGTTTATAAATGGTACCTAACAGTTCTTCAGGAGTAATTAATTGTATTCTGAATGTATGGCCATATTTGGTTACATTTGTAAAGATTTAAAAAATGATTTTATTGATTTTAGAGAGAGAGGAAGGGAGAGAGAGAAATGGAAACATCGATGTGAGAGAGAAACATCAATAGGTTGCCTCTTGATGCCCCCTACTGAGGATCAAGCCCACAGCCCAGCCATGTGCTCTGACCTGGATTTGAACCAGAACACCTCAGTTCATGGGAGAACACTCAAACCACTGAGCCTCATGGGCTGGGCCCATTTGTAAGGATTTTAAAAATTCATCTGTAGTTCCATGATCCAGCAATGCCGTTGACATTTTTTAAAGTAACGGTGCATACAAATTTTTAAAACTTGAATAGTATAGAAAGATATAAAAAGGAAAGTGGAATCCCCTTCCTAATCAACTTTCTCTTCCTGAGATAACCGCCATCAACAAATTCTCATCAGTTCTTCCAGAAAAAGTCCCTAAGTGTAGACACATGCTTTTCAAAATGAACACAACTGGGATCAACTATCTACTTGAGCATATACTTTTTAAAATTTTAATACTTTTTGGAAGCCCTGTAAACCTAAAATTTGTAAGTTCTGAATTTACCCTGATTCTGTTCAAATCCCTACACTGTATTTCTTAGCCAGGTGACCATGAACATGTTAATCACACTACCTGTGCATTTTCTCATGCACAAGAGGAGGATAATAATGCCTCCAACACCACAGAATGGCTGTGAATAATAAGTAAGATATCATATAGAATATATTCTAGTCTCAGGAACTCAAGAAAAAATGTTTCCTTGTGATTATCATAAGTACATAATTCCTCATCTTAATGGTATGTATTCTACAAATACATAAATACACTTCAAAAGTACTCTGAATTAATTGGTAAACGTTTAAATTATTTCTTGTTTTTACTATTTTTATTTTGTTTGTACTTTTTTGCTATTAGACATAGTGCTGCAATATACATTTATAGAATTATCAAAATTGGAGAAGTATTAAAAGAAGTATTTGGCAAAATTTTTAAAAGTTAAATTCTTAGAATTGAGCTGTATATTTTCAGTGTTGACAACTGTGGACCTCCTCAGTCTGGTCCCATTCTGTACTTTCCCAGAGTGTCACATGGCCTGTTTGTTCCCACGTTCTTCAAGTGTTATTATCAAGCTTTAAAAGTATTTGTCACTCTAAAAGTTACCATCTCAATTTTGTCTTCTTTAAGACATTTTTAGTGTTGTTTATGCTACTTCAGTTTTGTGTGATGCTGTATAGACATTTCTAATGTTTTTATAATGTGGGTTCTTTCCCTATTTCTTTAATATGTTGCTTAGAACGATCTTCCTGATTCCCTAAGAAATTCTTTTATTTTTTTCTTTGGGATTAATCTTGTTACACTTTTATAGAAAGTAATCACAGGTTTAATTCAGGTTTAAAGAGTTTTGCAAATTACTCTGTTAGGATTGTAATTTTTATTTTTTATTTGGGAACCCCTCTGTTACCAGTGGGAAGAGGTCCTCATCCCCACCTGTTGCTAGTGGGAGTGGAGTTCTTGCAATATCCTGAGAAAAAGAATTTTCTGAGACTCACATGGGAGAATGAGTGATTTTTATTTCTGTGGAATTACATCCCTGAGTTTCCAAGGTCCCATTTCCCCTTGTCCTGCCAAGGAAGGAGTCCCATTTTGCCTTTAGTGGGACTAAAATCAGAGCCAGTGTTCAGAGTTTCCATTCCATATTGGAGCAATCCAATACAGCATCAGGCTCACTTAGTTTGTGTTCCCCACTCTGTCCATCAGTCCATTGCATGTGGGGTCTGCAGGGCTACATGGATATGGAAGAAACACAGGCGAATGCAAGGAAGCCAAGCTACCCGAGAGCCAAGAGCAACAAGAGAGAGCCAAGAGAGAGAATTCCTTTGTTTAGGGGATTATATATTCCCAAATTTTTGCACACTTGCAGTGGCCATGCCCATAATGATCAATGATGTCTGTTCCCAGGTGTGACTGACAAGCACCTTCCCTAGTCACCATAACTTCACCACACATGTGTGTCTATATCCCCTTTCTTGGACCCCTTCCCCAGTAATCTACAGGGACTGGCCAGAGGTTCCCTGGGGAGTGTGAAATTGCAGCTTCCTGGTGAAGCTGCCCAAATGACATGCCTGTGTCTGGCCTTACCTTTGCTCCTTTCCTATTATTAACAACTTGCTAATTACAATGGTGTCACACACACACACTCTCACACTGACATTTAAGTTTGTATATATGTGTGTTCTCCTCTATTATTTGGTTAAAAGTAAGTGACATTAGTATGCTTGCTCTCTCTCTCTCTTGCTGGAGTCAAGTCATGAAACATCTCCACACACACATTTCTGAAAGGGTACTAATAGAAAGAACACAGAAACGTGCCTTTTCCATTTGTAAATCTCCATCCAGGTGTGTGCACCCTTGAATGTGTGTTCTCAAGGAGGGACTAGAATGTGGGAGCAGCATGCTTGTAAACAAAGGATAAAAAGGAGTGCTTGGAGAGATGGGTGTGTCTCCCACTGGAAGTATAATTATGTTTTCTTTCTTTCTCCCTATTTTTCCAGTCAGGCATGATAAGAACACAAGAAGCAGATTACTTCTTAAAGCCACTTCCTTCACACCTAGCAGGGAGGCTCAATGACTCTGCCGGGGGTGGGCCTCCCTCCCACATACTGTATAAGAGATCCACAGAGCCACCGGCTCAGAGGGGGCGCCAGGTAATGATGGTCCAGAGGCAGCAGGAGCTGGAAAATCACCACCTCTTCTACCATGAACATCAAAACCTGCACAGTGGCTCTAACCTCAAGCACCCACAAAAGCAGCATTTCTGTGGAAGACGCAAGAAATGTATGTAAGGGCGATTCTCTTCATGTATTTAATGATTTTAACACTTAGATAAACCAGTGGGCTTTTAATCTTCATCAAAGTATGTCTGTTCCCAAGATGACATTTATTAACTGCCCTTACTAAACTTAACATGGTGAGTCCAAAAAGAGCCCATTATCTGCATGTTCAGTAGAAGAGCTCTCTCCATGGTAGATGGAGAGATAATGGTAGATGTTTTCTTTTTTTTTAAAGAGCTGTTCCCTGGATAGATTAAATGACACACTGCTGAGGAAATACAGAACCCACCAGACATCTTCAAAAGAACCCTGGCATGTCTACTGAGTAATTCTATATTTTTGAGGTCTAAATTTATTAAAGCCCACATAGTTTTCCTGCTGAGGTCATGTATCTGTATACATATTATGTACTTGATCTACCACATCAAAAGACAGACTGTGCAGGACATGATTTACCTACAATTTATCACTAAGCTTTATCAAAGTCTTTTGTCATGAGCATTTAGTAGGTGACATATTGTGTATAATTTATGTAGGAACCTCTCACGAATTCAAGAATAGAAGTTCACTGTTTTCTGGAACTTCTCTCATGCCCTGCAGCTCCCCCTCCAGCATTACTTCACTGAGCCCTCTTTCCATGAGCCTACCTTCCCCCATCCCCACTTCTCTGCTGCTTGGTGTCCTGTGCTGCTATATCCAGCACCCTAAAATAGAGGTGGGCCTGCACAGGAGCTCCAGGAATATTGTGCAGTGGAGTGAACGACCCATAACCAGTTGGAACCTACAATGAAAGAATAAGTACCGTAACACCTGTGCGTCATCTGAACTCATATTCTCCAATAAATAAGTCTTAAGCTACAGTCAGATAGACTTGAAACTCAAATTCAGCATCAGGCTAGCTGGACTTGAAACACTCAAACCCAAATTGCTCTAGTCAGTGGGCTCAGTTCTGTCTTACCAGAGGCAGTCTGAAGAACAGAGTTGAGAACAAAGACAAGTGAACAGGAGTCTGAGAAAGTCAGGGAAGAGAGAGGTTCACTGGGTAATGCAACAGGGTATCCTTACCAGCAGCAACTGCCTAGGGTGGGGAGAGGAGGATGGGGCTAGGGAGTCGGGGCAAAAGCAGGATCTAAGGCATTGACAAGGTCAGAGCAAGGATACATGTTGGCAGGGCTCCTGGTGTGGGTGTGGTCAGTGCAAGGCAAATTTCATGTAGCAGGGAAGAAAAGTTGGCCTGGGAAGGAGAGATGAGGAAGGTTGTCTTCACCTCTTTGACAAGCCATACCAGGGTCTGAAGCCAATGTTATCATAGACCCTGAGGAAACCCAACAGTGCTGATCATTCTTGTCTAGAGGTGATCAGAATCATTCAGGCCAGTAGCAGCTAAGGCACAACTGTGCATGTAGGACAATCAAATTAATCTTTTGGTGTGACTATGTGTGTATATGTGTGCACTTCTGTGTGTGTGTGTGTGCGTGTGTGTGTGTGTGAGCATGTTGCCTTGACAGGTATTTTAGAATCTCAATAGTGGGGGTTGGCAGTCATTTGAAAAATACTGTAACATGTACAATAAGTTTTGTAATTGGAACATGGAAAAAAAAAAGTAGCTCTTGTTTTCATAATAAAGCTAGAAAAGAAAGGGGCCAGAAACGACATCTTGCCAGTGGGAGACATTAGGGATTGTTATGGTGCAGTCTAGTTTGCCAACTATTTCTGTTCCTTCCTGCTGGGCACATGCAGCTCTGCACTGGGGCCCCTGCATGGTTGGGGGCTGTGTGACCAACAGAACTGACACACATTGCCTCCAGGCTGATGCATTCAATTCTGAGGACCCCTGTTACCTGTGCATAGATTTTTCCATGTTCTCTATAGGCTTCAGACTTCCCTGGAGGAGTCCTGGTCTTCTGGTTCAGTGGGGTTCACATTTGAAAGAGTCATCCCTATTAGAGTCTCTGATTCAGGAAATGAGAGCTTTTTGTATGTGTTTAGGCACTATCTGTGGAAAATAGCAAACAAAGGCAGAATGATTTGCTTAAAATCAACCATGACCCTGAACCTCAGGCACATGAAGCAGCTTGCTGCATCTGGCTGCAGGCACCACTGATGGTTTTGAGGTGGGACTCAGTGCTTTGAGGAAAATGCTGCAATTTCCATACTGAAGAGCAAGTGATTTGCTCTGAGGGGTTTATCAGCGCCCTGGCCAGTAAGATTACCCTCCACCCCACTTTCCTGGTGCATCCCATTCCCATTACCAGGGATTATAAACTGCTGTGTTCCTAGGTTTATCAGCTTTCCTCCTGCATACATTTTTCCACCAGTGAAAATTAAGACCATAGGATCTGGGACCACACTACCATATCTACAGCCCATTTCCAACACTTTCTGAGGAGGGACAATGAGCAAGTGAAATTTGTCCCCTGTGCCTCAGCTTCTTTATCCTTCTGGGACTGCTATAGAGACTGAAGAGTTACACATAGCCAGCTCTTCTGGTGGAGTGCTCTGTAAATTGTATCAGTGTTCATAATGAATGGTGAATGCTCACTAAACATTAGCTGGTATAGCTATTATCCTCCAAAAGGTTTATTTAGGTTTGGAAGTATTGTAGCAGAGGGATAAATGGAAGTATTTCAGCAAAGAGTGATAATTTGATATGGGTACCAGTCAAACAAACTAACATTTTCTAGCACTGTGGTTTATAAATAGAGTTGGAATAGTTTTGAGGTGATAAATATGGGAGTATTTTGAAACCTACTTTCCCATGAAACAATTCTAACCACGTTTTCTAAGGCATCCACTCTACTGAATTGTTTTTAACCTAGTTAACTTACTGAGGATAAATGCCAAAACTATTTTTAAGTGGCTTGCTTCAAGAGGGCAGAGCATAATTTTGTCTTCTAATTAAGTTAGGTAAACATTTATGGTGCTTTCTAGGAAAGTCAACTCTGCAGTGAGGTTGACCTGTCTCAAGTAGTTAAGAACCTGTTTGAAACACTACAGACAAACCAGTCATGTGCGCAGACACAGGGCTCAACTGTAAAAACTGTCAGGTCATTAAGCCTTCAAATAAGAAAACAGTGCAAGATGGCACTCTTTCTCATAATTGTTAGTTTTATCACTTTGTCAATAACTCTTTTGCACAGCCTGTTCCATAAATTCTTATGCTAATAGTCTTTGAGTTGTGCTTCTAGATGCTGGTACCATGGAGCAAAAATGACCCTCTCTTATTTTAAATCGAGACAAAATTGTACAAAGGTCAATAAAACAATGCTTTTCATGACATCTAGACTCTGTTAACTTTATTTGAATTGAGTTTCCACTTTAACACAAGCTTTGATCACAGAGTTTTAAGGGTTATATTGTCCCTATCATGAATATTCACTTTTTAAAATTCAGTTTCTATATAACAAGTTCCACCACTCGTTTTGTGTGCTGAATTTGCTTTAATTCACTCTCTGTACATCCCTCGTAGACATGCCCAAGCCTCCCAGGGAAGACCTTTTCATCTTGCCTGACGAGTATAAGTCTTGCTCACGGCACAAGCGTTCTCTTCTGAAGTCCTATAGGAATAAAGAACTGAATGTGGAAACATTGGTAGTGGTTGACAAAAAGATGATGCAAAACCATGGCCATGAAAATATCACCACCTACGTACTGACAATACTCAACATGGTAAGAATGTCCATCATGCTGAAGCTGTGTGTAGTTACACCCAATGGTGTGTGTGTGTGTGTGTGTGTGTGTGCTTCACATTCTGCTTTTTACTTATAGATTTTTCTCATACATAGAAATATTCTATCTGTGGTAACTCCTTCAGTTTTACTAAGCTCTGATCAAAAGAGCCATTGTTTAGAACTTCAGAGAATAAATGAAGGAGGGTGAATGATTTGGTCCTTTCTGTAAGCCAGTCATCTGTTTTGATGTGCTGATGTCTTCAGTCATCAGAAATCTAAGAGTATGCTAAGACATTTTGGTGCAATAAATCTGTTTATCAGCACTATGTGTGTGGGTTTTAGATGGTTATATAAAAATACTCATTTTAGGAGTGTTAATGTCCAAATATTGAGTATAGATTATTTTTATCTAGAGAAAGAAAAAAGGGTACAACTTATTTAGAATGTCATCTCAGGTAAAGTGTGTATGTCCCCAGATTGGCAGCTGTAGTAATTATGGAAGGCCTGGCAGCTGGAATAATTATGGAAGAGTGGTAAGAGGTATCTAGGCTCATTTCACCTAAGAGACATCTAGAGAACAGAAGACAAAATCTTGGGTCACCAAAATGTGTTTTTAAAAAAAGTTATGATAACAATATTTTAAAAATCTGTTATGTTCTACCTTAATAAACAGAGAACCCACAAATATGTTTTATATTTCATGATGCCACATGGCTATTATTGCTAGTGTCATTTTTGGTAGGTTGCCCCATGTGGTTTATGACCTCCCAGGGAACTGAGGGAGACAGTGACATGAGGCACCCATCACTGCACATCCCCAGGACAGAGGACAGCAGGGCCAGATGCTCTGATTTGTGCAAATGCCGTCTCTGTTCTGTAGAGCTTTCTAATGTTTCTACACCTCAAGTGCAGAGCAGTAACAGGTACCTCAGTGCCAAGTCACCCCCCTGCTGTATTCCACACTGTTGACAGTCATTACTCATCATCCCAAATGCCACTCCAATATTCACTTCTACAACTGTGATCATCATCTCAAATGTTTGTTTCTTTCTTGGATCATTTTTTGACATTTCCTTCTCTTTATCATGTCCAGTTGGTCTTTTCCCAGCATTTATTTTATGCTTCTGGAATCCCTTGCCAGAAGAGCATGGGGAATACTTACCTATGCAGTTATCACTATGAGTAAAAAAGTTCTCTGTTCAGTTCACCTGAGGACACTTAGCAATTCAGAGACCTTGTAATGCCTAACTGGTGTTTGAGAAGTGGAACCTCCCTCCCCAAACTTCAGTTTTTCACTCCCAGGAATCAACAACAGAGGTTCAACGATTAGTCTTTTGGTTGATAGATATTCCTATACTTGTCTGTCTAGCAGTATAAGAAACATAACATTGCTACATTACTAAGACACATGGGATTGGCAGACTGAGAACTGCAGGAAAATGGTGTCACGTATGGAGACTGACACAGACTGCTTGTCTTTTTCAGGTATCTGCTTTATTCAAAGATGGAACAATAGGAGGAAACATCAACATTGCAATCGTAGGTCTGATTCTTCTAGAAGAAGAACAGGTAGACTGTCTTTGAAACCAACAACTTCTTTCCCAGAAAAATAAATGCAAAATAATGCTCTGTTTTCTTTAATATGGATTCTTTACTTCCCTTTCCCTTGGGGACAAAAAGTTTTAATATTTTGCATCTTAGACAATGATTTGCTTGTCGATTCCTTTAATGATTATTTGATTTTTTTTTTTTTTTGGTATTTTTGTGCAGAGGTAGTAAGAAGTACTCATGTAATTGCCATATGAGAAAATGGAATAGAGAAGCTGCCTTTAATATGTGGGTGGGAAATACACTGGGAAGCCAAAGTGTAAAATATGTCGTCAGCCACTGTGAGCTTGCAGGATGCCAGGTGGAACTGAGCCTCTGAGTCTTTTGCTAGAAGACTAAAATGTCCCATAGCACAGAAGTGAAATTTTACTGTGTGGTACTGCATTGCTTTGCTCTGTTGTCTCCCAACTCCTAAGACTGATCCCACTAACCCTCACCACCTTTAATCCCAGGATTTTATACTCATAGAGATTCTGCAATGGTGAGCACATTTATCTCATTGCATACAAAAACCCAAACTATGCTGGATCTTGGTAGCATTTGGTAAAAACATCTCCTTTGTCTCTATTCCAGAGTTCCTGTCTAAATGCCCAAACATACACTTCAGTTCACAAAGAGGTTGTATATGAACATGTTGTGGCATAAATAACAGGGGGCATCTCAGCCATCAAGGACTCTTGCTTCTATTTTGGCCCAAGCTGATCATGACTGGGCATGGGAGAGTGAGCCTGGGACCCAGGTCAGGCACCCTGCATCCAGTCCCACCTTTGGCTGATGTCTTGGCAGAATCTCCTGTTAGCCATAGTTTTCTTATTTATAAAACAAAGGATTTTTAGATGAAATCTAAGATCATAAGATCTAAGATGCCTACAGGCTTTAATATTTGGGGCTCTGCTCTTCTCCTGGGCAGGGTGGGGGTGGCAAGGACAGGCCTATTTCTAGCCTGAATAGTCAGGAAGATATAACCTCATTGTCTTTTGTGTGAGTGTGTGTCTGGGGAGGGGGTGCTGAGCCAGCAGGGTTTCTCAGGTGACAGGTTAATTATTCCTTGTATTAAATCGTTTTCACCTTGGAATTCCTCCAAGCTGTAAAGAATAGACGAGGTTATCTTTTGATCGTACACCTGTGTTAACTTTAATTAATGCAGTGTTCCTGGAAATCACCAGCTGAAGAATGGAATGCATGTCCTAGTTTTGATGTACAACATCTAGCTCAGGTGTATTTGACTTTCTGGAAAGACAGAAACTTGTAAGGAGAAAACATATTGTGTGACCGAAGGACAAAAATTCCAACACAACACTCTAGTCATAAAAGCCTTAAACAAGTTGTCCTAAAATTGAGATATTTAATCTGATTTTCTCTGATCATCGTAGGAAAACATAGCATTCCTGTAAATAAGGCTCTAACAACTCATTGCAACCTACTCTGCTGGATGTTCCTGCCACCCCCAAATTCACTTCCCAAGAGTTCACGCGTTCTTCATTTCTCTGTTGCCTTATTAGAACTTGGTGTATGTGAATAAGGTCAAATGTTTTCTATATATAGTTTCCTTCTGGTTCCAGTCTATTTTCCAGAAATAAAGCTTTCCCAGTTGATCTGCTTCTTCTCATAAGCATGTTGCCTCTGTAGTGACTTAATTTAAGACTGCAATAATAAATATTAAAAGGGTCATAAGTAGGAAATCCCACTTGCTCTACTTGGTAATGAAGTAAACATTCAGTGACTGGGTGTGCTTTGTGTGTGTGTGTTTAGTCACATACAAATGATCCTGTTGTCATATTTAATTTTGTAAACTCTTTTACAAATATTTTAAATGCAAATTTTATACACAAAAGTAATCTTTCTTGGGTCACTGAAAATGCATTCGGGGTCAGCTAAATAACATCCCCAACTGTTTGGGCACAGAACTAGAGAAACGACATGTCTACACTAAATCCATACGGTTTTATGTAACACACTCTTTTGTGCTTTAATACATAAAATGGATAAATTAGCATATGTGCCATTGGGATCTGTCTGTTTGAATTCCAAGTCAATGAGGCTTTGCCGTGATGCGAATGCTAGTTAACAATTGCATTGTACCATGTTCTCTCTCTGTTATTGTGGTGGTCTTGGTCTCTCTTGCATAGCCAGGGCTTGTGATAAGCCATCACGCGGACCACACCTTAAGTAGCTTCTGCCAGTGGCAGTCTGGATTGATGGGGAGAGATGGAACTCGCCATGACCACGCCATCTTACTTACTGGTCTGGACATATGCTCCTGGAAGAATGAGCCCTGTGATACTTTGGGTAAGATCATTCAGCAGAGTTTTGAGGACCATGTATGTGCTTTGTGCCTTCTGTGGCCTTGCATAGTGAGTATCTTTGCCCTCATTTCAAATTTATAAGCAGTAGCCACTGCTGAGAGCAATTTTAAAGAAGAAACTTGTATCCCTGAATGAACTTTGGCCATAAAAGTATGTATTTACTCATAAAAAGTGATTACTTCACAAGGGAATATCTCTCACAGATTCAAGAGTTGCTGTTTCTTCGAACTTAAGAAATAATTTCTTTCATGCCTTCTTCCTGAGAGAAAAGGGTCAATAGAGTCAAAGATGTCTCATTATATGACAGAAATGGCACATTTATGAATATTATAGAGATATCACAACTATATCATATATATTCCTGATCAATCTCATAGCAATTCTTGATATGTTCATAGGGCCGAGTAGATCTTAGAAGCAGCACTTTGATATGTCTTCCCCCCAAATAATTAGTATAAAACATAGTGTGCTACTGACCAGGAGTCTCCCTGACATTTTTTCCTAACTCTCCATTTTTCCCTGGGATTTTATAAAGGAAGATCCTTTACTATAAAAACATTTAGATAGGACTCAGTTTAGTATAGATTAATCTGACTGCTTGTCCTTAGGAAGGCCTGCTTATGAGTTGGCTCTTAACTGACCTCTGAGAACTTAGGTTTCCAGAAGGTTCCCACCATTCTACCTGATAAGTGTGGCTCACTGTGCTGAAACTGTTTGTACAAATAATGCAATTTATGTGGAACAAACACCTGCTTTCATCCTAGGAGTCTGGAATTTGGGTCTATGCCAGGCAGAAGGTGCCTATGAAATCAGCCCCCAAAAAAACTCCAGGGCCCTGAGTCTCTAATGAGCTTCCCTGGTGGACAGCAGTCCACACTGTTGTCACAACGTGTTACTGGGGGAATGAATTGTGTCCAGTGTGGCTCCACTGGAAGAGGACTCTGGAAGCTTATGTCTGGTTCCCTGAACCTTATTCTCATGCCCTTGTTCCCTTTGCTAGTTTCTCTCTCTCTCTTGCCATACTGAATCCTACCAGGAGCACAACAAATTCTGAATCTGAGTCTTCCAGGCAAACCTGTGAACCTGTATGGTCCAGGACTCCCTGACACACCCTTCTCTGCAGCACTTTTTTACTCCATTTTTGAGAACCAAATGTTTATAGAAAAAGGCAGGAAGTCTCCTCCATCTGCAGTGTAACCCCTCTTCTGCTGTGTCCAAGTCACAACCTGCGATGTGGACATTTCACAGAGCTCTGAATAGTTTTCCACGCGGAGAGAACAGATCCCCACTCCCACATTGTTAAGAGCCCTCTCTGTTAAGAGACCAAGGTTTTCTCATTTCATATTTCAGCAGATGAAGATAAGAATCAAATTTCCCTAAATGTGTAGGGTAAATAATAACCTCCTTCTTTATTTTGTTGCAATCTACTGTATATACTTTCTGCCTTTATGCCCATAGGATTTGCACCCATAAGTGGAATGTGTAGTAAATATCGCAGCTGTACAATTAACGAAGATACAGGCCTTGGACTGGCTTTCACTATTGCCCACGAGTCTGGACACAAGTAAGTACATAGTCATAGGAGGATGGAACCAGGGTCCTTTCCCTCCTGGTTTGTTGCCATAGAGGTACTGATTCATTAGGTCAAGTCTGTGAGGGAGATTCACATACATCCAAGAGAATGTCATGGACAGGTAGTAAATGTTATCACATAGGCACATCTTTTCTTTTCATTTTAATGCCTTGTCCTGCACATCCAATGCATGTGTTTACACTTTCCTCACCCTGTTCTTCCCTTATATTCCTGCTCACACATGCACATACCATTGCAGATACTTGTATCAGTCCTGTGTCTCTGTCCTGTGGACTAATATTCCATGGTTGGCTCCTGTTGGGGGATTCCAGATGACTGAGAGTAGTAACAAGCCCTCCTATTGTTAACTTGTTACTCTTGAATTTGTGTTCTTATATCGCTTACAGAACTGGGAGAGGTCTTTTTTGATTGGTGTGCTAAGAAGGGTTTGGGGAGTACAAGTACTAAAGGAAATAAGGTCCAGTAGGACATGGCTTGCTTCTCACATTCCCATTTTCCCAGTGTTGCTGGTTTTGAAATGGGGCAGCATCAGGGTGAGCAGTGAGCTTGGCGGCTTAGCACAGATAGAGGCTGGTGCTGGACAAGCAGCTCTCAGCTGGGTGGCTATTTATTCCTGTAGAATAAAAAATTTTCTATCAATTACTAATAGGAACTTATTTCTAGATATGTTTTCTTGGGCTAATAATGCTATAAACTGCCTCACCTTGAGCCACCAACTATTAATTTTCTTTTTAATGGACCCACTTGCTAACTTCCCACAATTGCCCTGATTAATATGAGCACTAACAGTGGTCATGCAGATGTTTACCTGCTACATGCAGCTGTACTTTAAATTTCTCCTAGAAAATGCAAAACCAGGAAGTATAACTTTCTATTTTTTATTTTAATCCCAATTTTACTTGCAAAATCACAAAACTTGAAAAAGGCAGTGTTTTTGTGGTTTGGTCTCCATCCCATGTTTAGAAAATGGGCTGAGGTCACTCGTCCCGACCTGTTCAAAGCACCTGTGCGTGCATGTTTGTGTGTGTGTGTTTGCGTGTGTGTGCCTTTGTGTGTAATGGAGCCCCACGGAGGCCCTGCAGACTCGGGCTGTGTATGAACTGATGACCTGAAAGTGAAGCTGTATATCCTCTTACTGATCCCTTCATCATTACAGGTAATGATTGACTTTTTTCAGTGCCCAGAAAATTGCACCTATACTCCATAAAGCTTTCAGTTACATCATAATTGTATTTTTAATAGACTACTAGAGTTAGAACTTCAAAACCTCTCATTATTTTAACGACATGGGGCTCTTGCTGTCCTCTGAACCATTCCTGAATTTAATTAAGCAGTGAAGGTAAGAAATATTAAGTCACTGAGGACGGAGCAAATCGGCATTAGATAAGCAGCTGAGATACGGGCGCTGGCAGTGCTGACAGTCACAGGTGGTGGATTCGACTGAAGTTACACTTGATACATCAACGCTAGGCTCCTGGTCTTCAATGTCGACAGCTGTCAGTGTTTGCTATTATTTTCTCTTAGAAGTCAATCATTACTATTGTTTTATCACTTGGGCTGGGTCTAGATGGAAAAAGAATTTCGTCCTAACAAGAGATAAGTGTTTGTACTTGCAAGTGGAAATACAGCTAGGGAGAAGAAAATGTGCTCTAGATTTGGATAAAGGGGAGCCCCACTCCTTATAGACTTACCCTCCAGAAAATGATCAACTCTTTGTTGAGCACCTGATGTTTAGAGGACACTGTGCAAGAGATAGAGGAACTGGGAGCTCTGAAGAATCCATTTGCCCATGAAATAGCTTCTGATTTTATTAAAGTAGGACATATATGTAAATGAATTGCATGTGCTAAATGCCAAAGATGAGTGATAGTAATAACAATAATGATAATAATAATTGTACTCTCTTCTCTTTATGAGTAACTTTTCATAAATGTAAAGAGCAATTTCTCATGTATCTCAAACCATAGAAACTGCTTGAGACAATCTCTCATCTTCCTTCACTGGCTTAGCAGGTAGACCACACGGAGTATTCAGTAAATATGAATGAATGGGATGGGAAGAGTGAAGTGGGGAGTGAGAGAGTGAACAAATGAAGAGTATTGCAAAGTACATCACATGAGAGAGGCTGTGGCATAGAAGACTCAGTAATCAAACGCTGTACATTTTACTTGAATTGAAGACAGACACATTTATCTATTCAGTCCATTTATTTAATAGATATTGTTCTCGAGGAAGGGACTGTAAGTTTGATATATGGATTAAACATCATAGCATGAACAGCATGCCTTTATCTTATCCTTGGCAATGAGCTCAGTTTAGAGGTTGGTACCTTAAGAATTCAAAGACGATTTTAGATCTATTAGGTCTGTATAAAACATCATATTTCTCAGGCGACGTTTCCTTCTTCAGTTTTCCTTATATTCAGAGGACATTGTTTCGGGTGGAGGAGGGCTTCCCCCTGCTTTCAGCCATAGGTTTTCTAACCTTTAACTTAAAAAGAAAAAAAAGATTTCAGTTAATGTCCAGCCAATTTCTTCTACTAAGTTTAGCTGTTGTCATCTCAAAACTATCTTGTGGTTTATACTGGGGAATCTGACCTAAAAAATAGATGTTACTAAGAACCAGCATTTAGATTTGTGTTGGAAAAGTGTGGAAGAAAGACTGGAACCGGAAGCGAGGATCTGTGTTCTCTGTTTGCCTGTGGGATTGAGTCCAGATTTCTCTTAAGCTGGACAGGGAGAATGTCCCGGTTATATTAAATCATGTGACACAGGACGTGTGGTTTGCTGCATGCAGTTGTTGAAGAATTGGCACAGATTTGTTGAGGACTGAACTGCATGTTTTGGAGAATATGTCATCTGTTCAAAAATTCCCACGTGCAAAGGAAGTCATGTCATTTAATGGGTAGCACCCTGGGACCTGAATATGTAGTGGTTCTCCCATAGCTTGAGAGTGACCAGGGCACATTGCCTGGTCTTCCCTCACTTAACTTTCCATCTGTAAAACCAAAAGAGCTTGTGAGATCCTTAGCAGGTGTGTGCAGACATAATGACAATGGTATTAGTTGAGCTGACTATCCCTATTATATACAATATGCTGAAATATTTAATTTGCATTACCATTCCAGACATTTAAGACAATATTAAAACACATTTACTGTGCTCATAAGTATGCACAATCTATCGTTTTGCCTCCTATCTTTTTCAGCATTTATGGACCAATCCCTGGGCACAACTTACATTCTGCCACCAAAGCATTGTGCAGGATTCTATAAAAGGACCAGTTATCTATGCTTCCCAAATGTCTAACAGAAAGATAAAACAAACAAGGCATGACAGGAAACAAGAGTGAGAGCTGTAGGCATTGTAAGAGACACAGCCAGGGAATATCAGGGAAGTCTTCTCGAAAGAAGCAGAATTGGCTTGCTAATACCATTCACCTCAAGCACACTTGCCTGGTAATGTTAGATGCCTTTTGAGTATTTGATGGTGAGATATACACCCCACTGGTGTGTGGCTGTTCTCTGTCATCAAACTGAGCCCTTCCAGCTGGGTCAGGGAGGCACAGTGATCTGAGAGATTTGTAGACTATCAGGGCAAGCCCGCGCCACAGAGATCATTGGTCTGGTGGTTGTCAGACTGCACTCTAGGGAACCCCAGTAATTAGAGGGTCACTTCTTACCAATTTTATTTATTGGCATTCCTCTTAAAATTACTTTGTTCCTGTGTCCAAAAATTATTTGAAACCCATTGACCTTTGGCCAAACCCACACATGCAAATACACACACACACACACACACACGCATATACGAATGGCATCTAGGTATTAAGTGATTTGACCAAGACCACATTTGAATCAGATAAATGGATAGAAATTTTGAAATTTAGTCTGTGACACGCGGGGTGCCAGGTATTCTGAGGAAGGGTTTATTATCCCATTTTACAAGTGAGGAAACTGAAACTCAGAGATTTAAGTAATTTGCCCAAAGTCAAACCATGTATAAATAACAGAGGCTTCTTTAAAAAAAACCTACATCAGAGCTCTGGACATCTGGGTTCTACCAATAGTTACCATCCTCAGGCCAAAAGTATGATTTATTGTCCAGATGACATTGACCCAGAGTTTCTTAAGAGAGTTTCTCATTTCCTTAACCCCTGCTATCTGAACAGCCTGAAACAATCAATACAATCTCTAAATATACTTGGCTGTTCACCTGGTTATATCACTAATAATGAAGAAATACTTGATGTAATTGAATCACTCGAGAAAATACTATAGAAGACATTATAAGCATCTGACATTGAACATAATTCTCCGGTCTAATTTATTCTGAAATTATGATTTTATTCAGGTATTTGAGTTGGTGTTATAGCTGGAAGTTTGTTCTTTATTCATTCAGCAAGCATGAATGGAGAAAACCTGTTATGGGCTAATGAGCCTACTGGCTCTGAGGCTATGAGAATGGATAACAAGAATCTCTGTTCTTTAGAATTTATTAGATAATAGGTAAAGAAGAAAGAATATATATATATATATATATATATATATATATATATATATATATTTACACACATACAGATTCATTAACATAAGCAGTGATAGTCACTTTGCATAAAGTACTGTGGTTCATGGAAGCAAAAAAAATTATCTAGCATGTATAACTTGAATATTAATTATACTTCTGGGTTGCCAAATACCAAGTTTATCTTCAGAATGTGTTCTATTCATTCTTCCATGACTATATAAATGTTAATATCAAATGTGATCATTGTGGTACTTTCATACAAATGTGCTGGCATCCATTGCAGTACAATTTATGGGTATTGCACTACTTGGAAACGCAACTCCTAAAATAGTAGTGCTGAGATTTTTGGGGGATTCAGAATCACCTTACTGTGTTAGAATTCTCCAAACTACCAGAACCTAACCCACAACCTACTCAGTCAGAAACTTATCAGGGTGGGCTTTGCGTAGCCACATTATACAGTGCATTTCTCAGATATTCTGATGCACAGTGGAGTTTGAGATTAATGTAGAAAGAATCATTGAAAATACCTTAGATGAAAAGTTTAAGACCAAGATGTTCCCAGACTGAGGATGTTGTGACTGAATTTCTTAGAAATGTAGGTAAAAGTGGTAACAAACCTATCTAGGGCACTTGATGACCCATACTGTGTCTTCTCCATATTCAGGTCAAGGGCCAGCCAGATGTGGGTATGTTGGTTTTTCATTTTGGTCACTTTATCCTCAAGTCAGCCACCCATATGTTACTATAGTCTGAATCTTTTTCACAGCCATGACACATTTTCTCTGCCGTATGGTTAGTTTGGCCTTGATTGATTGCTTTTAATAGAATTTCAGAGTGGGTGGAGGTTGAATGACTACATATGCATCACCCTTGGTACTGAGTTGGAATTTTGCAGAAATTGGACAATGTTTGCACTCTAAAATTTCTTGGATACACCCTTCAATCATGCTCAGGTTACACTATTGCATGGGTTTTTACATTAGTGTGTCAGATTCCAGTCCTGACTCAGAGACCCTGGACAAGCCTCCCTCAATTCTTCAGTCTTGCGGTCTTTATATTATACCTGCCTTACAGGCTTGTAGTGAGGTTTAAATTAGAAAGCATAGGTAGCACGCTTAATATTCCATCTATAAAATAATGAGTGCTTACAAATCTTAGTTGCTATTTTTACTGATATTATGAAATAGCTCTAAGGAACATAGTAAATTAGACAAATGTTTATTTCACCTTGGCAGCAAGTACAGATTCTCTGGCCTCCTTTTGGAGCCCACTCAACCTGTGTTGGTTCTGTCCCTCTCCCTGGGCCTCTCCCTCTGCTCATCATGGGGTTCTTGGATGCAGAATGTCCCCAGATCCAAGTAACTACCTTGTCCATTTTTATTTTTTCTCTCTCTTACCCATCCCCTTTCTTGTGTCCCACTCATTCAAAACCATACTCTCTGGGGATCCATATAATGATTGAATGAATATCAGACATTAATAACCAATGATGGATTGGCTCTCCAAAAATAGATTTGCCCTAACAGGAAGCCTTCAGGGCTATATAGAGTGCCTACCCTACCCCACCCCACCCCCATGCTTTCTTCCCAAGGGAGTAAGCTGTACTATTCTGAAGCGGGTGAAGACGGCCAAATCTTTAGAAAGTTAGAGAGAAAAAGCTCTTGATAGGGGAAGGTAGCAACTCAGTAAATGGGATTTTCCTGGGAGCAGAGCTACATAATTGACAGTAAGGGGGTGCTGGTTGACACTGTGGGATTTGAATACCTATAAAGAATCATATTAAGAATTTCAACAACCATTATAGTTTGAGATGTTCCCATTTACTAAGCCAGAGCAGGAACCCCCAAATCACTTTCTTTCACTCAAGAGTAACAGGTTTGCCTTCAAACAAAACCCGCAGATAAACGTAACCATAGCTACCGTAGGGGTTTCGTGGAGCCACTTCCTCTAAAGGGCTGTAGGTAGTACTAGGGCCAAGCACCTTCCAGCTGTCAGAGCCGCTGGCATTGCAGACCTGGTCTTAGATGGAGCAGTGCCGAGTGAGGGTAGGAACGGAATGTCAGGACTAAGAGTTGCAGGGATTGGCTATAATTCTTAAATTGTGTTAGATATCAAACACACATGGGGACATCTGTATTTTGAACAAACACTGAAAATTCTGATATCCACCATGAGCAGAAGACAGTATAGAGGGAATGAAGGAATATAGAACAGTTTTAGCTCTGGCAAGATCAAGTGAACCACCCTCCCCATGCCATTTGAAATGCTTTTTTGTCATGAAAGCCTCTGCCCTTAGCAGACATCTGAACAGGGCACCATTTTGATGTGTGTGTGTACTTTCAAACAACTCAGTGAATGGCGGCTCTCCAGGAAAGGTCTATGAATACATGACTACTGTCCACAATTTGGCTATTAAAGCTGTAATTTCTGCCTGACTAGCACACAAAAGTAGGAGGCTCTCCAGCGTTGACATGTATTTTAGAATGTATTAGACCATTTAAACTGTTCTTTGTTTTGAAAAAAACATTTTTCTCTCTTGTAGCTTTGGCATGGTCCATGATGGAGAAGGGAACATGTGCAAAAAGTCTGAGGGCAACATAATGTCCCCTACATTAGCAGGACGCAATGGGGTCTTCTCCTGGTCACCCTGCAGCCGCCAGTACCTGCACAAATTTTTAAGGTATGGACTTTTGGAACCGGTGGTATGTCTCTTGGTGCTTTGATGTTCAACACCTCGTCAGCCTGATCCTATCCAAGCAGCCCCAAGCTTGGGTGTGACTTCCCAAATGGTTCCCACTTGAAAGTCTCAGTCATTTAAGACAATCAGTTGACCAAGGAGTTTGCCAAACACTTCCTTAGAACATGGAGGCGTAGAGGCTTAATCCAACATCATTCAACTTTTAAACTCAAAGGAAGTCCATAAGATACTTTTAAACTCAAAGGAAGTCTATAAGATACTCACAAAACCATAAGACTTTTATTTTTACTGGTTTTGCCACCACATGATGCCAACAATTGAGCAGGCAGAATAGCCTGGAGAGGCAGCTGCAGGGCTCATGACCTATACTGACTGGACCAGAGTGGATGGAAGGAAACACAGGTTGGCAGCACCCAAGAATTACCAGATAGCTACCATCCAAGTCTTTGTAACTTACATGTTGTTGTAGTCAAAACTAAGAACTAGTTACGCTAAGAGTTGAGGACAAAAGTGTGCTCTCTCTATTAGCTCCTGTAGATACCCCTCAGGGTTCTACTGTCCTCTCTGACTAGTGGACCTGGCACTGAGGTCCTCACTTTGGGTTTCAGGTTTTCTTTCTCTCTTTCTCCCTTTCTCCCTCTCTTTCTTTCTCCCTCTCTTTCTTTCTTTCTTTCTTTCTTTCTTTCTTTCTTTCTTTCTTTCTTTCTTTCTTTCTTTCATTTTTTTAGTAGTGTTCCTTTGCTATCTTTCTTTCTTACTTTTTTCTGTTGCACAGTTTACATTGTCTTATTTCTAGAGCATCATTTGGTCAGGGCCACAGACTATTTTTATCAGTTTTACTCTTGTTTGTTGTCCATTATCCGATGGACTGCTCACCCATGCCCACCTATATCAGTGAACCTATGGCTGATTTACCTTGATTGCTGCCTCTTCCTTCAGTTCTCCAGGTATATTTTCTAAGCCAGCATCCTGGCCACCAGCCTGTAGGAGTCCAGCTTTCGCTTGTGGTCCCTTTCTCATAGTCCTACTCTGAGACTGCAGGCAAAATATTGACTATGACTGCTTTTCATATTTTATGCCACCCAGGAAGAATGAGAATTTTGTGGACAATATCTGTGTCCTGGTAGTATAAGCCTATGTACTGAGAATATACACTTGGTCATTTTTTTTATTTCTATTATCAAAATAAGCAAAGTTAACATTACAACTGGCATGACACATGAGGTCTTTTTAGAATTTCTTTTTCCCTACATATTATTCTTGTGAAGTCAAGCTGGGGATCGCTAGCATTATTTTTAGCTGTTTCTTGCAGCTGTTCAGTGTGTGTGTGTGTGTGTGTGTGTGTGTGTGTATTAAGAATTCTGCTTCATGCAATAAAGAATATGCACTTTAAGGCTCACCATGCTCTTAATTGTATTGTAAAAAATTTGGAGGGTTTTAGATCTCAAATCCTTTCAATAGTTTTCTAGACTCTTTTTCAAAAATATCATATTGCTTTTTCAGCTTCATAGTTATGATGAAGATCTGTAAACATTTTCAGGTTTTTTTAAATGTGCTCTGACAACTTCGGAAATAGGATGTAAGGGTGTGCAGTGAAAATCAGCATTATAAAAGTGTCCAGAAAAAAGTGTTTTCACTGCCAAGAAATATAGAAAAATTCATGGAAAGAAAATATTTATATGCTTAGAGATAATTATTTTGATCACACTAACTATGGGTTGTAATCCTCAAATCAGAATACAAATTTCAGAATGCTTATTAGGGTTCTGGAATTCAAAGCCATTTTTGTCCTGTTCTAGTGGAACAGCTAAATGTTATCTGAAGTACGTTCATTTGCATTTGTGCCACTCAGTAAAACCTTTCTGTTGCAATTCAGTAATAAGCCTTTATTTTCAGGGGCTTTATAAATTTCTTTGGACCACATGATTACAAATAAATATGCAAGATTTTACATACTCACAGATTTGTTTTCTTGGAAGATTAAGTTTTCCAAAAAAAAAGCCCTGACTGATTTGGCTCAGCGGTTAAAACATCAGCCTGCGGTCCAGAGAGACCCGGGTTCAGTTCCCACTAAGGGCATGTACCTCAGTTGCAGTTTGTCCCTGGCCCTGGTTGATCGTGCAGGTGGCAGACACTCAATGTGTCCCTTTCATGTTGATGTTTCTCTCTCTCTCTCTCTCTCTCTCTCTCTCTCTCTCTCCCTCTCTCCCTCTCTCCCGCTTTCTCCCTCCCACTCTATCTGAACAAAAAATGGAAAAGTGTCCTCGGGTGAGGGTAAAAAAACAAAACAAAAAGTTTTCCCAAAAAAAGACTTTCAATGTCAAATTCACTACAAATGTTTATTTTATTTGAGATGACCAGTTGTGAATTGGACATGCCTACATTGTGTTAACACTGACTTTTCATCAACTTAATGAATCTGAAACTGTCTTCTTTGACATATTTGCTGACTTCCTGATTTCCAAGGAATCAAAACACTGTGATTTTCTCCACCAATTTAGGTGGCTATTTGGATACGATCCCGACAATGAGTAAGGATGAATGGCAAACTCTTAACGATGAATCTAATTTCCTTTATTAGCAATTTGGTACACGGAAAAAACATATAATGAGAAACTCAATTGGCCTGAAGTTGTCAGCACAACTTCTCTCCGTACTTGGTAGAGTCAAGAAGGACAGATATATGTTTGGAGTAAATTCATCAACCTAGTCAAGTAATGTGTCATTTCCTATGAACAAACATAGACCTCATCACATTTACTCATGTCTGCATCCTGGAGGCCTAGGACTTAGGGAAAATTTAGCTCACTATTTTAAACCTAATGACAACATGGACTCATCTTCAACTTATTTTTTTTTTTAATTTGAGTCATGATCTACTGATCATTGAACATGCCTCCTCTCTGACCACACAAGTCTATATCAATACGTGAGAAAGGTGACCATCACAGAACTGGAAGTTTGAGGAGTGCATGGCTCCCCAGCCATACCCTATACCACCTCTGTCAATGAGAAAATTTGATCTGACCTCAATGCTCATTAAGCTTGCTTTTGGGTATAATGGAAATAGTACGTTTCAGTTCATGTTTTGCTCTGCTGTATGATGTTCATCTCAAGAAAAGCAAACTGGCAGGTCACAGCGGATTGCAGTCTCTGCAGAGCCCATGTGACATTAAGACTAATGCCCATCAGTAGATGAATGGATTGAAAGCTGTGGTACATTTACCAAATGGAATACCATGCAGCTATAAAAAAGAAGGATCTCTTATTCTTTGAGACAGCATGGAGGGACTTGGAGATTATTATGCTAAGCGAAATAAGCCAGTCAGAGAACGACAAATATCACATGCTCTCACTTATATGTGGAATCTAATGAACACAATAAACTGATAAATAAGATAGAACCAGAGGCATGGAAACATGGAACAGACTGAAAAATCTCAGAGGGAAAGGGGGAGGGAGGGAAGGAAGAGATTAACCAAAGAATTTATATGTGTATATGTATATCTCATTGACAGGGACAATAGGGTGGTGAAGGCCTAGGGGGGTGGGAACCAGGTAGTGGGGACAGGGGCAGAAAAGAGAGGGGACATCTGTAATGCTCTCAACAATAAAGGTTTTTTTAAAAAAACATAATAAAAGGAGTACTGCTGTGTGATGGAAAGAGCAGCAGGGAAACTGAGCTGACATGCTGATCGGGCCGTTATCACTCATGTCTGGGAGGTTCTGACCTTGGCAAGTGAATTAACCTTTCCTGGGGGCCCTCAGATTTTTACTTGGGAAAGGAAGAAATACAATGAAAAGATCTCTCAAACTCTTTAATATTTTACTGTTTTGAATTAGAGTAGAAAAAGGATTTTGAAATATTGTTGTGATAACTTTGACCTTGCCTTATTTTCTTTAACATAAGTTTTATAGATTTTTTAAAATGTATCTTTATTGTTGAAAATATTACAGATGTTTCCTCTTTTCTCTTTTCCCCCATTGACCCCCTCTACCCCAATCCCTGACCCCCCTCTCCAAACCAGCTTTCACCACACTGTTGTCTGTGTCCTTGGATTATGCATATATGCAAATAAGTTCTTTCATTAATCTCTTCTGGCCCCTTCCCTGCGCACCTTCCCTCTGAGATTTGTCAGTCAGTTCCATGTTTCCATGCCTCTGGTTGTATTTTATTCATGTTACATCAGTTGTTAAGCATTCTTGACATTTTCTTTGCAAATATTGATTCTGCCTCATTCTTTCTATCCTCTCTTTTTTGGATTCCAATTTTGTAAATATTAGAACTTTTTATAATACACCATATGCATATTTTTGTGTATATTAGTTCTTTTGGTGAAATTCTTCACTTTCCTGAATCTGTCAATTACAGTAATTTTAAATTCCATTTCTGATTACACTAGTATCTGAATTTCCTACGAGTCTGCCTCTATTATGTGTATATTCTCTTGGATTTCAATCATTTGGTCTTATCTCCCAGTAAACTTAGTAATTTTGAACCAACATTTCATTGTTTTTTTTTGTTTTTTTTTCCAAATCTTTATTGTTGGATGTAAAATGTATTACAGATGTTCCACATTTTTCCCCCATTGACCCCATCCTCCCCACTCCTGCCCCCCTCCCACCTTTTCCCACACTATTGTCTGTGTCCATTGGTTATGCATATAAGTTCTTTGGTTTATTTCTTCCCACCCCCCCAACCCCTTTCCCTTTGAGGTTTGTCAGTCTAGCAATGAGTTTGTGCTTCTTAATCCCTTCACCTTTTTCACCCATTCCCCCAACCCCCTTCCCAACTGGCAACCAATAAAATGTTCTCTGTATCTATGAGAATGTTTCTGTTCTTCCTGTTCATTTTGTTTGTAGATTCCATTGTTGATAGATATGTATTCATTGCCATTTTGTTTGTTCATACATTTTATCTTTTTCTTCAAAAAGACCCTTCATCATTTCATATAATAACGGTTTGGTGGTGATGAACTCCTTTAACTTTTTCTTGTCTGGGAAAGTTTTTGTATGTCCATCGATTCTAAATGACAGCTTTGCAGGATAGAGTAATTTTGGTTGTAGGTTCTTGGTTTTCATCACTCTGAATATTTCTTGCCACTCCCTTCTGGCCTGCAAAGTTTCTTTTGAGAAATCAGCTGACAGCCTAATGGGTACTCCCTTGTAGGTAACTAGCTGCCTTTCTCTTGCTGCTTTTAATATTCTCTCTTTGTCTTGAACCTTTTGCATTTTGATGATGATGTGTCTTGGTGTGGGCCTCTTGGGGTTCATCTTGTTTGGGACTCTCTGTGCTTCCTGGACTTGTATGTCTGTTTCCTTCACCAAGTTAGGAAAGTTTTCTGCCATTATTGTTTCAAACAGGTTTTCGATTTCTTGTTCTCTCTCTTCTCCTTCGGGCACCCCCAAGATGCGAATGTTGGCACGCTTGAAGTTGTCCCAGAGGCTCCTTACTCTATCCTCATTTTTTTGGATTCTTTTTTCTTTTTGCTCTTCTGATTGGGGATTTTTTGCTTCCTTATATTCCAAATCGATGGTTTGCTCCTTGGATCTACATACTCTATTATTGAAGCTGTGTAAATTATTCTTTATTTCAGTTAATGCCTCCTTTAATTCTAACTGTGTATCCATGATTTCTAACTGGTACTTTTTTATGCTCTTGATGCCCTCCCTAAGTTCACTGAGGTTCTCACTAAGTTCATTGAGCATCCTTATAAGCAGTATTTTGAACTCAGTATCTGTTAGGTTGCTTATCTCCCTTTCGCTTAGTTCTTTTATTGGGGTTTTGTTCTGTTCTTTCATTTGGGACCTGTTTCTTTGTCTCCTCATTTTGGCTGCCTCCCTGTGTTTGTTTCTATTACTTAATGAGAGGTATGGGGCTCGCTGAGACCCGGTGCTCGTTTGAAAGAATTTAGGAAAAACCTGAAGCAGGATCCAAGACCGGCCAATCCTATGGTTAAGCAAGTGGCAACAGCTTGAAAGTTGTGTGGGGCGGGGCGGGGCGGGGCCTCAGGGAGTCACCAGGGCGGGGCTACGAGTGTGAGCCAGGTTGCTGGAGTCCCAGATATGGCTTCTGTCTGCCGCCCCCGGGAAGGGCTCACCAAAGGAACAAAGGCCTCTGACAGCACGTTTGTCCCCGAGGAAGCCCCCTCTCCAGCTCTCGCTCCAGTGCCAAACAGCTCAGTTCTTCCCTGTGTGTCTCTGGTGCCCCTCGAGCTGCCTCCCCTCCGAGCTTAGAGGGAGAGAGTCTGATAAGTCCGTGCGCGGGCCCTTTAGGGAGCTGCCTGGGGCTCCAGCCGCCTCAGCCTCCCTGAGCCTCAGTTTCCGCTGGTTTTTCCAGCCAGAAGTTATGGGGACTTCTCTTCCTGGCACTGGAACCCTGAACGGGACACCTGGTGTGGGACGGGGACCCCTCAGTCCTCAGGAAGGACCTTCCCAGCCGCGGGATCCTCCTGATTTTTATCCACCACGCTTGGGTGTGGGACCAGCCCTTCTCGCCGCTGCGCGCTCCGCCGCTGCGCTGCCGCCACCCCTCACGCCGCCACCCCTCCTACCGGTCTGGATGTAGCTGCTTTTTTTTTTTCCTTAGTTCCGTAGTTGTACGACTTCCATTCAGCTTGATTTCAGGCGGTTTTGAATGATGGTTGTTCTGTAGTTTAGTTGTAACTTTGATGTGGTTGTGGGAGGACGCGATACCGCGTTTACCTACGCCACCATCTTGACCGGAAGTCCCAACATTTCATTGTTTATGAAATGTTTAAAGATGAAATAATGATAACTATCTTTTATTTTAACAGATAAGGTGGTTGAAGTTTATCTTCATTCACTTTGGTATTGAACAAAAGTGTAATTAACACTTCAAGACAGCCAACCTTTCTAAATTGGCCTATTCAAGTTGTTCTTACTCCTAGAAACAGTCCCACTGTGGTGTCAATGAACATCTTGTGATGTGACCAGGCCCCTCCTGTCCAGCAGACCCTCAATGTCCATGTCTATCTACCAGCCCCATCAAATTGCCTCAGACTTCGCTCAGCTTCTCAGGCCCTTGACTTTCACCTCACAGTCTGACACTTGGCTTCTTGGCAGCTGCTTATGACTCAACAAATTCCTTTTTTTGAGGAGGAAAATAGCACTGGGTGTTTAATTCAGTCCTGTGCCTCCCTTTCCTCTGGAAATGTATATTCCTTGTGTTCTATTTACTTTCATGGCTATCTGATGCCTACAGAAGGATCAGTTTGATACATGCCAGTCCACCAAAGTTAGAAGGGAAAGTTCCGTTCCATTTCAGTTTTAATGCTGAATTAGAAATAGCAGGTTACACTTACATAAACTATGAACATTTCTGAACCTGTGAACCTCTTTGTAATTTTCAGTCTCTCATGTAAGTCAGCATAGTTGACTTTCCCTAGTTTCTTGTCCATGGACAGGGAATAATATTGCAAACCCTGATGTAAACTTTGGGAGATAATGTGAGACATCTAACTAGTATATAGAAATCATTTGAGATCCATTAGAGAGAGGGCTATGAAATTAAAAATTTGCCAAATCACTTCTGTCTTGAAGTGTTCATTACACTTTTGTTCATTTTTCTTTACTTATAAATAAACCCTTGCATCATGATCAGAGTAACCTAATAGAGAAGTGCTCATTTATTGAGCACTCACAGCCAGTCACTACTCTTAGTTCTTTCCTATCATTTAACTTCATCTCTACTTCTTAATTTGCACTGAAAAGCCTTCTGATCTCTTTGCATGTAGGATTAATGTCTCATGCACAGTGGCTGGTGCCATCCCTCATATTTTATGTATGTGGATATTAAATGAAGTCATGCATCAGTGGGCTTCAAGGCAGAGGAATCTGGGCCTGGGGCCCTGATTCTGGGGCCAGAAGGATTCCAATCAAGGTGGACAATCACACAAAGAGAAGTTTGGAGATGCATGAGCAGATCTGCTGTTGATTAATTTATTGTGATTACAGAGGGCTTTTGTCGTTTTTTCCTTTTGACATATTGAATTGTATAAGTAGGATTTTAGTTACTATTTGCAAACACATGTGCCTCCTCCCTCCAAATGCAACAATTGCACCCAAGTACAGCCCTGGTAAGGTAGGGGATACTGTATTTGTGGAGGAAGGAACTATTACTTGGTCTTTAGCTATCTGCTAGTAAACTTAAGCAGCTATTTTCCTCCTTGACTTAGAAGTCTGGTAAGAAATTAGCATGCATATAAAACGTTGCTGGTGGAAAGTGTTGCAATGTTCCATGCAGACCCTCTGAAAGCTACAATCTATTGTGCAGATGTTCCTTAGCCTAGGAGAAGAAGGAAGGAAGAAAAGGAAGCAGGTAGGGAGACAGAGGGGAAGAGAAAATAAGTTTTAATCTTTGAAATTGGCAGCTTATTTTTTTGCCTTTTACAATACCCATTTCCATTTATTGATTGTTCCTGGCAAGAAGTGTACATAAAAGTGGTCTATAATAGGAGCTTCTCACATTGAACATCTGGTTGTATTATTCCATTTCACTTTTCCCCATGAAAAGTTTGAGTAATCTAAGAAAACACAAATTGCCTTCCAGGAAAAAGCAAAATGAACTATCTCTGTAAGTGTGGCCCCTATATGTAAATATAACTAAGATCATTGTTATATTGGACCTTTGGGGGGGGGGATTCCCTCTTCTCTATATAGTATATGTGGTAAACTGAATGAGAAGAAATAACATAATTGAATGTATATCTTTGATCATTCTTTTGGCATCACAAGCAGCCCATGTCCTCTTTGTTTTAGCACTGCCCAAGCAACATGCCTTGCTGACCAGCCAAAGCCTGTGAAAGAATACAAGTATCCTGAGAAATTGCCGGGACAGCTATACGATGCAAACACGCAGTGCAAGTGGCAGTTTGGAGAGAAAGCCAAGCTCTGCATGCTGGATTTTAAAAAGGCAAGTGATTATTGGCCAATGCTCAGTGCACTATTATTCATAATACTGTTTTATTCAGTGTAACTGACATTGATGTATTCTGCACTTATTGGGTACCTACCAAATGTCAAATCCTGTATGTTAGAGCTGGCCCCATATAACAGGAAACACATGTTTTACTGGCAAAGAAAATGATGACTGATACTGTTGTGGGTATCAGTTTTCATCTGAGAACTACTTGGCCTGTTAGGTCACTTCTTTCTTTCTGATTTATCACGTGGGAGCTCAGCAATCACTTTTGGTTGGTGTAAGTTGGCAAACTAATACTCTGCATTTTTAAAAATGGTATTAAGAAAACAAGGTCCACCATTACCTTCCTCCTCTATAAGCATAATTTACTATAAAGTAGCAGCTTATCTAGGGCTTCTAATTATTAAATTCTTCAAGTAAAGTATATATAAACAAGTTTCTCATTGAAGATACTAACTACTGCATCAACCCCGAGGACATCACGGGTGTGTTCTCCTAATATAAATCCCACAGAGATGTGTGTTCTTGCTGCACAGATAAATCAAGATTTAGGCACTTGCTCTACTGAACCGGAGGGAGACCTGTCCATAAATTAAATGAAAGTAACTCTTTTTGAGGTTTCTTTTATTCTAGTTCATAATAGAATTAAGAGGAAGATAGATCAAAAATATTGTCCTCCAGAAACCTCCAAACATTTTAGAATGCGCTGGAATATTCGCAGTTTAAATCTAACGTGGTCATCTTCTTCTAAACTCAAGTAGAGTTCCTACAAAGATTAGTTAGAGCCACGTGCCAGAACCGGGTTCTCGTCTCCTCAGCTGAGGGGTCTCAGCTTGGACCAAGAATAATAACTCAGCCAACATCAGCATATATTGCATGGGCACCTTGTGAGTTTCCTAAGAATTTTTTGAATGCTAATCCTCTGTGTGTTTAAAAAAGGAAAAAGTGACTCTACCCAGCAAAGCTACCATTTAGAACTGAAATTCAGAAAAAGAGCTTCCCAGACAAGAAAAAGCTAAAGAGTTCATCACCACCACACCAGTATTACATGAAATATTGAAGGGTGTTCTAGAAGAAGGAGGAGGAAGAGGAGAAGGAGAAGAGATTAAAAATATCAACAGTAGAATGGCAATATATACATAACTATCGATAATTGAATTTAAAAACAAAATAAACAAGCAGAACAGAAACAGACTCATAGATACAGAGAATATTTTGACAGTAGCCAGATGGGAGTGGGGTTGGGGGAATGGGTGGAAAAAGTGAAGGGATTTAGAAGTACAAATTAGTAGTTATAGTGTAGTCATAGGGGTGTAAAGTACAGCATAGGAAATATAGTCAATAATATTCTAATTTCAAATAACTATGTATGGTGTCAGATGGGTATGATATTTTTTGAGACAATCACTTAATAAGTTTTATAATATCTAATCACTGGGGTGTACACCTGAAAGTAATATAATATTGTATGTCAACTGTCATTAAAAATGTTTTTTTTTAATAAAAAAAGAAAAAGAAAGAAAAAGCACATAAAACTAATGTTTTTGTTCTTTTTTAAACCAAAAACATACTCCTGGTTTCCACATTACTCTGCTTTGTGATCATGGACTGTGTCATTCATGATATCTTCATATCATTTAGCAAATATAGAAAATAAGTTAATGTGCACATTTTTTATTACTGAGGAAATATTTGCATGCAATGAAATGCATTCATTAAAGTGCACAACTGGAGCCTGGACCCATGCACCCAGAGGTCATTGGTTTGATTCCCTGTCAGGGCACATGCCCAGGTTGTGGGCTTGAATCCCAATGGTGGAGCATGCAGGAGGCAGCCAGTCAATGTTCTCTCTCATTGATGGTTCTCTCTCTCTCTCCCTCTTCCTTCCTCTCTTTCTAAAATCAATAAAGAAAAATAAATAAATAAATAAATAAATAAATAAATAAATAAATAAAGTGCAGAACTGCAATTGTAACAATGCATTCATCCATGTTACCAGCATCCCAATCAAGAGATGACTTATTTCCATAAAGCCAGAAGTTTCCCTTTGCCCCATCCATTCATTCCCTTCCCCATCCCAGTGAACAACCATTGATCTGATTTTTATCACCATAGATTATGCTTTGCTTATTTTGGAAATTCATAATTGCCAAGAAAAGTATTTAATATTTCAGTGTCAAATATGCTGTTAGCTGTTAATTTGGCATAGTTACCTTTTATCAAATTAAAGTTCCTTTCACATCCTAGATTCTTGAGAAATTGATCACAAACGTGTGTTAAGTTTTGGCAAATATATATTTTTTTATTTCCTCCTTTGGTTTTAGTGTTTGCTTTGTGGACCTTGGCAGCTGCATTATTAAAGAGTGTATGCTCATTTAGAATTATTATGTTTCCCTGACTCTTTTGTTATTAAGAATTATTCTTCATTATTTTTGGTAATACTATTTTTCTTGAATTCTATTTTGCCTAATATTACTAGAGCCACATCAGCTTATTTAAGAATACTCTTTGCATGATAAAATTTCCATTCTTTCACTTTCAATTTATTTGTGTTTATATAAAAAAAAAATAGATCTGCTATAAACATCCTTTAATTTGGTATTACTTTTCTATTCAGTTGAACCATTGCTAACTTTGACAGGAATGTTTAATCTATTTATATCTAATGTAATTATTGACATGCTGTATTTAAGTCTACCATTTCGCTATTTCCTTCCTATTGGTCCTATTTTTATTTCTATTTTCTTTAGAATTAAACTTCTTGTTAAAAATTCTGGTTTTTGCCTTGTCTTGCTTTTTAGTTATATTTCCTTGTATTCATTTTTAGTAGTTGCTTTAGAAATTATAGCTGCATTCCTAATTTACAATTTATGTAAAATTAATATTGTTCCACTATATGTGAAATGCAAGACCCTTACAGCAATTAAGTCCATCTATCCCTCTTCCACACTTTGTACTATTGCTGCCATGTATTTTATTTCTATTCATGTTATGAGCCACATGGTGTAATGTTATAATTTTTGTTGGAAAATAGTCAGCTGCTTTAAATAGAAATCAAATAGATATAAATAGATTATATTTTATAATTATCCACTTATTTACCATTTAGTGTGCATGTTTTTCATAGATCAGTTCCCAACTGTATCATTTCTTTAGGACCTGCAGAACTTCCTTTAGAATTTCTTATAGCACAGATCTGCTGGCCACAAAGTGTGTTAAGTTTTCTTTATCTGAGAATGTCATTAATTTACACTCAGCTTTGAAGAATAGTTGTTCTGAATGTAGAATTCTAAACATTTTTCATCTATTCTTTTTTTCCTTTAGATACTTTTTAGATATAATTTTATTTCCATCTGGACTCAGTTGTTTCTGATACAAACTTGGTTATCATTTATATTTTATTTCTGTCATTTTTAATCAATTCAGTAAACTATACATTTGGGTTAATTTAAGATTCAGTTTTTCAATTAAAATTTGTTTTTTTATGGTCTATATTTCTCTACTAAAATTGCCTATTTGATCACTCATGATGTCAACGTTTTCCTTTATAGCCCTTGAATATTTATTCATTTATATTATTATTATTAGTAGTAGTAGTAGTATATTTATACTCTATGACTATAACAGGTGAATATTTTAGATCCTCTGAGGCTGTTTTATTCTTCCTTGGGGTTCATCAGTTTTAGTTTTTCCTGAGCCTTAGAGCATAGCCTGTATTCTCAATTGTGGTCCTCACCCATGAAGTGTGGACTTCATACCTTTTACTGAATGTTCAGGATGCTCACTGAGGTGTCTCCACTCTGTGTGAGCCAGCACACTGATGCTTCCAAGCACTGTGCAGCCTCTGTCTCCCAACCCTTATCAGCTTTGCCTGCACCTGTTACCCTCTGCCAGGCCTTGTGGAGTCTATCCTGTACATCAACTTTTCATCCCCCTGATAAGGACCTGCAAGAAATCCTCCCAGTGCAGCATTTTCTTTCAGTTCCCATTCCCACAGATTCTAGCTGTTTGGAGTGGCCCCAATTCCAATCTTTTGATCCTCCATCTCTGAGACTGCTATGTCTGCCTGAGACAAAGTGCTCCCAGGCTGAGAGGTAGGGCAAATTCGTCACTCAGTTTTTGGGTTTCCCTTCTCTCCAAGATCATGTACTGTGTTACTTGTTGTCAGAGGTCTAAACAATTGGCCCATATGCCCTGGCCGGTTTGGCTCAGCGGTTAGAGCGTTGGCCCGTGGTCCAGAGAGACCTGGGTTCGGTTCCCGCTAAGGGCGCGTACCTCGGTTGCAGTTTGTCCCCGGCCCTGGTTGGTCATGGAGGTGGCAGCCACTCGATGTGTCCCTTTTGTGTCGATGTCTCTCTCTCTCTCTCTCTCTCTCTCTCCCCCCCTCTCCCCCTCCCACTCTATCTGAACAAAAATGGGAAAATGTCCTCGGTGAGAAAAAAAACAAACAATTGGCCCATATATTTTTCTAGTTTTATAGTTTTTGAATGCAAAAGAGTAAGCCTATCATCATTTACTTAATCATGAACAGTAGAGGAAAACCTTTTGAAATAAAAAAGTAATTTTTTAACATCAGATAATGTCAGCTCTGTGTCATGTAAAATTGTCCTTCAAAACAAATAAATTTGCTGTAATTTGTTTTTATAAGTTAAATTCTGTTTTTGTAGCCAGAATCTCTAATATATTGAATCTCAAAATTAGATACTATATCAATTAGAGATTTTTAAAATTTTCCATGTGGACTGAATCATTTCAGGACATTTTTAATTATAAAATTTACATTTTAAATAAACTCCTACTGAAATTGTATGGCTCTATTTTGTTAGGCTGAAATGTAGAGACCATTAAGTTTTTTGATGGGATAATGTAGAAGAATAAATGAAAAGTAAATTACCCAGTACCTAAATTTGCTGAGCAGGGTGATAGATGGATGGATAACACTTTAGAAAGGGATGGATCCCTTCTAAATACCACAAGGTATTTAGTCTCAAATGTTAATGGACAATGCAAATGCAAAAGCATCCTTCTTTTGGATAGATGGATATGCATTCAGTGTATATGTATGTATGTTTACATACTCATGCTTAAACTCCCACATTTATATGGCCATGGTTTTCTCTGTTACTGATGACTTATGTAGTGATAATTGGAATTAGAGATAAAAGCACACTGCAGCTTGAAAAACAAATAATTGCAATTGATTGTATGCCCTATTATTACATCATTTGTAATTACATTTTCAGTTTATATTTTTGGAGAGTCTAATACAGACAGTTTGAGAAAATAAATCTGGTGACACTCCATTCACAATATTGAAATGCCACAATACATTTTAACACAGTCATTGAAAATGTTTTTTGGAGGGTGTTAGGTTGTGATATTAAGATTAATCAAGTCATGTTACTGAAATTGGTCTTTGCAGACATAGATGTTAAATGATGGGATCAAATAGCAAGAGAAAGCCTTCATTAAGATAGGATTCCTTAGCTGCAAAGATAAAAGCAAGAGTGGACTCTCTACTTGGGATTCAGCTTGTTTTCTTCCTGAGTTAAACATCGGTTATTATAAACATAGTGTCTTTATCGAGTACCTATTCTGCTTCATCAACATCGCCTTGTGGCCTGACTCTGCAGTCTGAAATATAAGCTACCAGAATTACTTTGAAATTTGATCACCCTAGTGTCCTGGCTACTGTTGTTAAATTGGGAGCTACCCCCGTGCCCATCACGTCTGACATTCAAACTCCCTGGACTTAGAACCACAATTTAAAAGGGTCTTTGTTCTAAGAGGACCCTGAAGTTTCATTAAGAATATAATGATGTGCAGCAATAATGCTGAATTTAATACAATCACTGTACATTATGGCCAGAGGTCAGCGACTAAGTCAAAGTATGATAAAAATGAGCAGGAGTAATTGGTTTTGGTTGTCTGTGGTTTAACTCTCATTGTATTATCTAATTTTTTGAGGTACTAGAATTTTTGTTTGTTTTCCAGGATAGAGAGTTAGGTTTCATCTAATGGTAGACAATTACATTTATAGGATACCAAGGTATCAAATGCTTTTTGAAATGTTGAAAAATAGTAACCTGGATACTATGATATTTCAAGTAAACTCTACAATTTACTTCCGCCTGGAGGACCAGCATTGGGGATTGAGCAGGTTGGGCGGCCAGGCTTCAGTGCACAGATGGCAGAGGCAGGGCACAGACTGAGTTAGTGAGTCACAGGCCTTGATGGTGCCCGCCTACTGCCGGCATCCTATATTCGAGAAATTTACACTTAGAATAGTGAAAAACCATGGTCTTCAATAGTGTCTTCCATTTGTACTTCTTTATTCTACAAAGTGTTTCCAAAACCTGCAATGTAAGAATATTCTGAAAATGCTCTGAATGGCAGAATCTACCTCTGCTATTTTCATATCATCAGATGGCTTTCTTAGGTCGTCTCAGATCTTTTATAATCATAATTATTTGTTTAATTTTGCACTAAAAACATTCCTGCTCATGCTATTCAAGGTTTCCATAGGAACAATCCAACAGATCTTCAGCTCACTCGGAAAGCATTTACTGAAAGCTAGCGAGGTACTTGAGCACAGTTTTGGGTACTGATGACAAATGCATAAAAATAATTTAGCATTTTTACCACAATTTACTTTGTGTATCTTGGATACAGCTCCCTCAGGCCACTGCCATGAACAGGCTAAGAGCTGCGATTGCACTAGAATCTCCTCATGCCCTTAAAGTGAGAAATAAATGTGCATGGTTTGGTGCCCATTAGGTGTCACATCCTGAGGGGGACCCATTACCTACAACCACTTTATTTAGCCCCCAGGTTGGGTGTTGTCCCCTCAAGTGTACAGAGAGGACACCAGGTCCTGGCTGCCCAGGTTTGCCTTGACCAATCTACATCAGGTCTGCCTACCTTTTCAGAAGCCCAAACTCTTCTGAACCACTGTGGTCATCTCCTGGATGACCCAACCTCAGGAATGCTTCCATTTTCACTTCCACCAATTCATTCATTCATTCATTCATTCATCCATCCATCCATGCATCCAATTATTTATGCGGCACACACAGCCTCCTGAATCAGTACATTTCTATGCCCCATCCATCCAGTCGGCTTCTGTGAGTCACCACTCAAGCCCAGTAATGACTACCCCACACTGCCATGTAGACTCTGGTTCTGGTCCGTCATATCACTACACAGACAGCTGAGCTCCTGGGTCAACAGGCTGCATTTCAAGGGAGCTATATTCATATCCTCGTGTGCTTTCATGTTGCCACCCCTGTAGGCAGACAGAGCTTTCCAGCCATCTCTTTGGAAAGTTTCAGACATTCAGGCCCTGCTTTTATGGTTCCTTGAGGTCTTCCTGTGGCTCTGATCTCTAAAATATGTTCTGGCCAAGAACAGAGCCACCAACACAGTACGCCAATTAATGTCACGAGGGCCTGTCTGAAGGAGAGCAATCCAAGGTTCCCAGCAATAACCTTCTCAAGAGCTGTTGTACGAGCATCACTGTTTACCAGATGCTGACAGAGATGTGAGCCAGGCAAAGCACTAACCACCAACATGACACAGTTGCTCCAACAGTACTAATGATCCTGCAGAAGTCACAGGAAAATAAAATTTAATGGCACAGTGGTTGTAACTATAGACGGTTATGATTAATACCACAAAATAAACGCAATTGGTATCCAAACTTAAAAGGTGGTTACCCAATGGTATCAAAAATTAAAACATTGAAAATTTACTTGTTAGCATTCCAAGTTCCCAACGAATATCTTATTAGTGAAAAAGATACAGGTGGAAAAAATATAAGGCTATGTCTTTAATACTTTAACTTCAAAATATATAATAATTAAAATTAGGGAGGGCCCTGGCCGGTTTGGCTCAGTGGTTAGAGTGTCGGCCTGCGGTCCAGAGAGACCCGGGTTCGGTTCCCGCTAAGGGCACGTACCTCGGTTGCAGTTTGTCCCCGGCCCTGGTTGGGTCGTGAGGGTAGTAACCACTCCATGTGTCCCTTTCACGTTGATGTTTCTCTCTCTCTCTCTCCTTCCCACTCTGTCTGAACAAAATATGGAAAAATGTCCTCGGGTGAGGATAAAAAAAATAAAAAATTAGGGAGGAAATTTGAGAATGAGTTTTATGAAGGTAAAATTAATAGGTATTATTGAAGTAAAGCCCTTCGTGAGATGAGTCACATGAAATGCAGAAAACTTTCATGTGAGCCCATCTTTTACCGCCATTGAAATAGGAACGAAAACACAAATGCCATCTTTGAAGCAGAATTATATTGGCATTTCACTGCATTACATTTTCTTTATAATGCAAGTTACCCAGTAGATTCAACCATTAATTTTTTTAGGAAATAATGAAACACCTGTTCACATCTTCAGAACAGTCGTGCAGATAATTGAAGAAAGTTTTATCATGCGCAGTTGAAGCTACCACCAACATTCCAGAAGGTTCCATCATTTCATGAGTCTTACTATCTTCCCTTTACTCAAATGTTCCTTTGACCTCAAAAGGATGTGAACGTAAAAGCAGTTCCTTACATTTGCAAAGACTTTTGTGGTGTTTATGTCGCAGATCTTGTTTCAGTTTCCTGTTATATTATCTGTACAGGGCTTCCTTTCTCCGTGCACACCTTTCTTCCTTCTCATCTTTCCTCCTTTGCATAAACCCTTCATTCCCTTTTCTTCAAAAGGCATGCTCTTTCCCTCTGACAAAGTCCTAGGGCTGAAGAGTTGGCTCAGATAGCGCATCTCTGACTCCTCCCTTGAGTCCTCCAGGCTAAGCCTTTCCTCCTCTGGGCAAGTTCGGCCTTCACACTATTCTCCTCTGTAGGGCATCTCTTCCTACGTGCACCATGTGGCGATTCCCAAAATTACCCCTCTCTGTAAGAACAAGCTCAAAAGGGTAGGTCTAAGTCATATTCCCTATAGAACTTTCTGCCTACCTGGCATATCCCAGGCCTTCATCAAAGGTTTGGAGTTAGTGAATAGAGAGGTGGATGGAAGGATGGATGGATGGATGGATGGATGGATGGATGGATGGAAAAGCCAGCAAAATTTATAATCATCCATAATTTGAAAATTGAGGATTTGGACTTGGAAAAATTAGTGAAAGATGGGGTCAAGAATAAATTATAATATGTTAGGTTTTATTGCTTTGTTAATTTTTATTTTTGTAGTTATTTGCAATGTCTGGATTAAGCATATTTTACTTACTAATTTTTTATCCTCACACGAGAATATGTTTTTTATTGATTTTAGGGGGCGGGGAGAAACATCAATGTGAGAAACATCAGTCAGTTGCCTCCCATAGGCAGCCCAACCGCGGATCGAACGCACAACCTTTTGATGAATGGGGCAATGCTCCAATCAACCGAGCCACCAGGCCTGGGTCATATTTTACTTATTAATTTAGAAAATGCAATTTTGGTAAATTTGTGATGAAAAAACAAATAAACTTTCAAGGATGGAATTAAATTGAACCAAGTCTAGAACATGAGTCTTCAGGGTTCTCTATCTATGCATCTACGGTGAAGTAGGTGTCCATTTTAATTTATATCAGTTGTTTCCCCTTAATTTTTTTATTGATAAGTTATTATGCACCATTTGTAATACTCATGACCTTTTCCCTCCTTTTTAGGATATCTGTAAAGCCCTGTGGTGCCATCGGATTGGAAGGAAGTGTGAGACTAAATTTATGCCAGCAGCAGAAGGCACTGTTTGTGGGCATGACATGGTAAGACTCTGATCTTAGGCACATGCATCACATTTACATGTCAGTCTTTCAACCCATTCATCTCGCCTCCTCTTGCATTGGTACGTTAAGCCCTTCTTGCTCACATATATGTGCAGGTCTATTCTCATGTCAAAAGATTGTGTGTATATTGATATCATGAAGAGGAATCTTTTTTTTTTAAGTTCTTCAATGATATAATTGATGAGCTACCTGGTATTAAGAGACATAGATGTTCAGGCAAAGGTGATGGCTGAACCTGTTTAGTAAGGGGAAACATTAAACCCTTAGCCACCATTTAACCTCACAGAGAGCCAGCACTAAGCAGTAATGTTAAAGCCACAGAGCACAGATTTGGGACCTTTTCCCAGCTATGTGCCCCTCATTGAGCTGAGCGGGGACGAAACTGTGGGATTTTGTTTTACCACCTGATATGAAGGAAGCCAGTAATGGAAGAGAGACTTTTTTTCTTCTTTTTTGCTTGTAAGAAAGAATTAAAGAATTGAGTGGATGAGGCTGTAGTCCTCAGACTTACTTGCATTTTGAAAATTACATTTTTCTTTCTCTTTCTTAAATAATATTAAATTGAACTATTTGAAATTGCCACTCCTGTGTGCTAACAGTGATTAAACATCAACAATACACCTATTAGTAATTGAAATATTTTTACTTTCCTCTTATAAAGGCAGCAGTTTTTCCTCACAGAACAAATCAGGTGTCTCTAAATTGCCGCACCCCCACCCCCAGTCCACAGGCCAGGCTCTGCCAGAGACAAGAGACAGGCAGTTGCTTCCCTCCTGTCAACAGATGGCCTCAGTCCATATTGAAGAACCTCAAAGTCTACACCAAGCCATAGGTAGGAAAACCAGCACCACTGAACTCAGTGTGAGATCTTATGTAGCCTTTAGGTGAGGTGGAAGTAAAGGAGCCGCGTAGATGTTAGTGTGAATCTACACCGATGAACCCTTCTCTTGAGAAAGGGGAGCTGATAGCATCTCAGGGGACAGACAAGCTCTGTGTGGATTGTTTCATCTCCTCAGAAAGCCGTCTGACCTCTGACGTGCATCAGTTATGACCTCCAGGCCCTGAACCCAGGTGCTTTAGAGCAAAGTCACAGCCCACCCTTCAGAAATGACAAGGTGTTGAGTCATGTGGAACCTCCAGCTGGTTCTCTATCTGAAACTTGGTCTGTGCCGAAAATTAGATGTGAGAAGCACATTGTTTTCAGGAGCGGTCAGCATCCACTCACTTGAGAGCTGAATGTCCGTGCAACACTAGTTAATTAAATGTGTCAAGTTCCAGCAGCTCAGGCAGTTTTCTTTCTGTCTGTGTTCCCTTTACATGGATTTATGGAACAATGCTAGGTTTGAATAGACAGAAGCAGCATCATTAAGTGTGTTTGTGTGATGTGCTACTAGAGGTTAGGAATGATAATGTCTACCCATGGTACCAGACTCCGCGACTGAGCATTGCAAGAGAGATGACCCACATAGCTATCCACAAGGTCATATCTCCTACTTTTTAAAAAAATTTTAGTGGTGCCGTGGAGGACAGTGTGTGAAATATGGTGAAGAAGGCCCCAAGCCTACCCACGGCCATTGGTCAGACTGGTCTCCCTGGTCACCGTGCTCCAGGACCTGCGGAGGAGGGGTGTCCCACAGAGACCGCCTCTGCACCAATCCCAAGTAAGCAAGTCTCCACTTCCCGACTCACAAGTGAGCATCTCTCTGCTATGGCCTTCCAAACAGTGCCTGTACCTGAGCTCGGTCGTACTCTCTCTCTGCACTTCACAGATTACCGTAACAGACACTGAGGAAAGCCTTTTCTCTGAAACATTTCTGAAACAGTGCTATTTATGTGGTATAAGATGCTTATAACTACCTGACCACAGCAAAAAATACCAGACCAACAGTAATATTCTAGGGTTGGGTTTTAAAGATGCTTACTTGAAATGGCAAGAGCCTGCCTAGCACAAAGAAATCATACGAAAAGTATAAAGGACACAAATGAATAAGAATCAGTAAGAACAATTATCAATTATTTTATGTGGGGAAAAAAATCTGTTTTCTTCATCAAATACATATTTCCAAATGTGCTTTGATAGTAGTGGCCTCCTGTTACGTGACAAGAATGTTAAACGCAGTCACCAGTGCAGTGGCACGAGTGGATTTCTAAATCCACCTTTTGCACCTAGGTTTGTTTAAGATATAAGTCATGTTGCCATTATTTTAGTCCTGTCTTTAACATGTGAGACCCAGTAGGTTTCCTGCATGGACAGGACATGACTTCCAGGAGATGGGTGGTGAGCATGGGGCATCTGCTGTCAGTGCCAATCAGTGGGCGATGCCTGGTGCCTCTGACCCAATCCGGTGTTCTAGCCTTGTCTCAGGAAGCCGATAGCGGGAAGAAGTGGTGTAGTTCAATTTCATTCTCAGTTCTGCTTTTTATCAACTGTATGATTCTGGGAGAGTCACTGTCCTCCCTTCTTGTCCCCTCCTTCATGGAATTCAGAGATCAGGGATGCTGAGCCTGTCTCCTGGCTGGGAGGTGGCCATGAGCAAACACATAGGAACCCACTTCCCACACTCTAACCTCTTCTGCCAACGTGGTAAACAATACAATAGAAAAGAAAAGGCTGCCCATGTCATGAATATGTAAGAAAGTGCCAGTGACTACTTAGAATGCACCTTTTTTATTTGGCCCCTGTAAGTCCTTAAACATTATCTGCTAAGTCTCTCCAATAAAGCCCGATTTGAAGGAAGGGGTGAGTCGCTATGAAATGTAAGGTCTCTAACGGCAAAACATGTGTTCCAGACCATCGCATGGCGGGAAGTTTTGTGAGGGCTCCACCCGCACTCTGAAGCTTTGCAACAGTCAGAAATGTCCCCACGACAGTGTTGACTTCCGTGCCCTGCAGTGTGCGGAATACAACAGCAAACGGTTCCGAGGGTGGCACTACAAGTGGAAGCCTTACACGCGAGTAGAAGGTAAATCCCAAACCCCGCTCTCTAGTGATAGCCTCCTGCTTGATTATCTTTCCCCCTGGAAGAATTACAGGAAGGGTGGTATGCTGTTCAGGTAGACCAGATACCGCTAAGTGAGGTCAGGGTCAGAGATTCCTTTCTGGGATAGCTTCATATACGGCCACTGGCATTTTAATCTAAACTTGACCAGATGTGTGGTCAGAAATAAACAAGCCAGATAGCAAACAAGTATATAATACCATGAAATTTAAGAGAAGTGATAAAAAATTGAAAGTAGATGTTTTATTGACAATGGATTGATGCTTATATTTAATTAGAGTCCCAGTAGTTGATGGTGACATTTCTATAAGCATGTCACCCAATGAACACATAATTGCCAAAGAATGAAAGAAAAATGTTAGTGTCTTTTGGAAAATCAGATAATGTTTAAGTATACTGTTTTCAAAAAGTCTTAATCTATAATCTAACTATAAGCGCAGATGTTTATTTGTAACATATATAATATTTTATTCTTCTATTGGAGAAAGATATGATTGTTATATCTTGAATTTGGTAGCTCAAGTGGTATAATTTAAGAATATATTTTAAAAAATCATCTTATTCTTTGAAATTGGGAAAATTGTCCAACCAACATTCAAGAAATATGTAAGTTGGACCTTCTCATGTGACATTTACTTCATCACAATATATAATATTTTTATGGTGAGAGGTTTATGAAGCTTATATATGGAAGGAAAAGAGTCAGCAGTTTCACACAAAACGTTCTTTGTGGTGTTTTCACTCTTATACTCAGTAATGATGAAGCCCGTGAGAAACAAGTAGGCAGAAGAAAAATATAGAAAGAACTTTTAAATTGGGGTCAAAATATGTGTGTTATTTCTGACTTTGCTAGTCTTCAGTAAATAAATTTATTAATCATGGAAGCACATACTAAATTTGATTCTTTAAATTATTCAGTGGGTCTCTTACCTTGCACAATAATAAAAATATCTGTAGGTGAGTCTTGGGCCTATGACAACTCCTAAAGCAGACAAAATATTCATCATAAACTGTTCCCTTCTTACTAAGAAGAAAACAAGGGGAAATAGTTTTTGCAAAAGTTTATATTTAACTATATAAATCATAAACCCTTGAAATGGATTATTGAGAGAGGAAATGAACTTCACCAGTCTTAAGTATATGATGAGGCTCATATGTTCCATGTATCAGTACTTTTTTACAATCCATTATATTTATAGAAAACATTGTTTTCTGGAGATTTCATCTAAAAGTTATTCCCTTTATCAGTTTAAAAATACTATGTATTTCTTCAACTGTATTAGCTGATAAGAAATTCAATAACTACTTTATTAAATCTTGTCTTACATTTTGTTTGTGAGAATCTTGCATATTCTTATAAAATTGTAGTGATGTTTTGCATTTCAAGAGAGTAGTTGATTATACTAGTAGAATAGTGAATAGTAATGTTGTAGTTCAAATTAACAAATGTTTATTGAATGCCTACCATGTGCCAACCACTATATAAAAACAAAGACCAGTAAAGGACAGAGTAAAGTAAAAACTAATAGTGAACATTAAATAATAATAAATAAAAGGGAAAAAGAAAAAAGCCTAGTGAAGCAACCATACAAAATGTCTTTGCAATGTTTATTGTGTGGGAGTTTATTTTCTGGGCAAAAAAAAAAAATCTTTCTAAAATTCAGAGCAAAAATGATCAGAGCTTAAGTATCTTTCTTATTTGTGTTTGTGTGTGTATTTCTTTTTAAGATCAGGACTTATGCAAACTCTACTGTATCGCAGAAGGATTTGATTTCTTCTTTTCTTTGTCAAATAAAGTCAAAGATGGGACTCCATGCTCGGAGGATAGCCGTAATGTTTGTATAGATGGGATATGTGAGGTAATAATGATCGTTCATTCATTCAACAAACATCTCCAGACAGTCTGCTATGTGCCAGGCATCCTGTAAGAAGCTAGAGAGAGCAGACACAAATTGAGCCCTTTCCTTCCAAGTCACAGCCCGTGGGTGGGAGAAGCCAGATGTACACATACAGAGACACGGTGGTTTGTTGCGATGAAGGTGTCTACAGAGCACAGGGAGAAGGGAACAGCTGATTCCCTTAGATGTGGATCTGGGAGATGTGCAGGGCTCCTTGGAGAAGAGAGCTTCTAAGCTAAATCTGAAAGGGTGAGTTGGAAGGGGAAAGCTGGGGATGCAGGCAGGGGAGCATGGGTTGGTAAGACCCGACTCAGTCATCAGAGTACCCAGAAGGCAGACAGGGGTCGGGGTGCTGGGGGAGGGGAGGGTGGGAAATGGGCTCGTATAAGAACAATGGATGCCAGAATGAGGACTTGGGTTTTTGTCCTTGTGTCCATGTAGATCAGGCACTGAGACTGGGTATGAGTGGAGTTGTGGGATCAGATGCAGTGGCTGGACAGTAGCGTGGAGAGAGTGAAGGCAGGGGCAGCTCAGAGCTGAGCGGTCACTCTGCAGCTATTGCAGAGGCCTCCAGAAGGCCCGCAGCCTCAGTATCTGCTGGAGAGGGACTTGGGCAACAGGCTGGGAAAGATTCAGCAGCTAAATGAACATTACCCTCGGATCTCGTTACCATGTGCAGAAGTTACGAAAAAGACTTTCATTAAAAACAAAGTGAGGGTGTGACCAGATCAAATACATTGCAGGAAGTTACTCAATATTCTTAGTCACTGGAGTCCAGCGACCTCAGTCCAAGTTCCATTTATCTCTAAGTTGTACGGCCATGGTAGAGTGGAACCACCCACTGAGACCTTGGTCTAATTCATTTTAATGCATCAAGATTGAGCTGAATGACTCTAATAACAACTTTTTTAGCTTTAAAATGCTCAAGTCTCAACCTGTTTTGTCTAATTACCAGTTGATTTATTAAATATTTTATTATTTCCAGATATTATTAATGACACAGTGTTACAATTCCTTATTTGTTTTCCTAAAATCTAAAAAGCTATGAAATGGGAAGTTGATTTGACTGGAAAACACATGCTGACCTGAATTTGGTGACAAAAACCTGCCCTGAATTGATGTGAGACTATTCATCAATTTAATTTTTTTCCCTCATTTAGTATAAAGATGTCTGCATTTTGTTATAAACATCATTGCCATCCTAGGCCCATCTGGGACTTTCATATTGTACATATATATATAATATGTCAATTACTTTCCTAAAATCCTAAAATCTCTGAAATGCATCCATCCCTAAGGATTATAGGCAAGGGATTGTGGACTACAGTTACTTCATTTCTCAATAGATTTTTTACATCTACAGACTATATACTCTGTTAGGAAATAGAAAACCAACAAGCATTGTACAAATTATAAAGAATTCCTAAAATTGTAAGAGGATAAACAAATATGCCCTTTATATAATTTACTGCTGGGAATTACTTCCACATGGCATGTACTACTTCTTTGCCAGTGAACCAGGGGACTCAAAAGCACCATGTCATATGCCACTGGACCCTCGTGAGGACACACTGCTTGTCATTTGTACTAAGTGCTTTATGTCAGTCTGAAATTGACCCGTGTCTCCAACATGACAACCTGATGGATGTAATCCAGGGCTCAGGATACAATAGCTGTGTAGCAAGACTAAAGAGTTCAGGTTGAGTTTGACATTTACAGTTTTCTGACTTTGGACCTGAAGAGTAGATTTGCAGTCTTGCTGTGCACATACTGGGTATCCAATAAATATTTGTTAATTTCCCTGTGCTGGTGAAATTTTCAACTCTAGCGGGGAAGAGGTTTCCTGCTTGAGTTTTGTGACTTTGCTTGTGTTATCTTTTCTTTCATGATTGACATGTGACCTCATGGATATCCCAGAGAGTTGGATGTGACAACATCCTTGGGTCCAATGCCATGGAAGACTCCTGTGGTGTGTGCGAGGGGAATAACTCAGACTGCATGACGCACAAAGGCCTCTATGCCAAGCACCACCGCACCAACCGTGAGTACGCCACAGCTGCCCACAGAGGATGAGAGACCAGACTGAGCCAGGAACTTCTTGGTGGGAAGAACTGGAGGTGTAGTGAATACAGCAGGCACTGAGACTCTTGACGGGGTGAAAATGGGCAAATGGGAATGGGGGACATCTACAATAGTGTCAGCAATAAAAAACTAACAGGTCCCATAACTGCCTCTTTTCTTGCCTACTCTCAAGCCTTTGTTTTGATCGGGCGTGGTTGCTAGATTATTTGAATTAAAATGGTCCTTAGGAATAATAAAAATTACAATAATTCTGCTTCAATTTTAAAAATGAAGTTATTTATAGGAGTAATATAATCGATTGACAAAACTGAGCGTATCTTACTTCTAAATGTGGATTTTCAGTCATAGCCATGGAGTACCAAAGCTGCTGAAAGATTTGGACTTGGCATAATTGAATGAAATACCACCCTCCCCTGCCCTGTTTGCTTTAATCTAGAGTATTATCACATGCTTACCATTCCTTCTGGAGCCCGGAGTATTCGCATCTACGAAATGAACGTATCCACCTCCTACATTGCTGTGCGCAATGCCCTCGAAACTTACTATCTGAACGGACACTGGACCGTGGACTGGCCTGGCCGCTACAAGTTTTCAGGCACTGCCTTTGACTACCGACGGTCTTACAGGGAGCCGGAGAGCTTGACCTCTGCGGGGCCAACCAACGAAACACTGATCGTGGAGGTAGACTCCATCCTCATGGTTTGGGAACTTGGATTTGGGGTCTTCCGGCATTTCTATAGGTCCAAGGCTATTGGTGTAATTTTTTATTAACTTTTTTTGTTATTCCTCACCCAAGGATATTTTTCCATTAATTTCTAGATAGAGATGGAATGGAAGGTGGGAGGAAGAGAAGAGTGAGAGAGAAACATCAATGTGAGAGAGTCACATCGACTGGTTGCCTCCCACACGACCTTGATCAGGCCAGAGATTGAACTTGCAATCCAGGTATATGCCCTTGACCAGAAATCTAACCTAAGACCCTTTGGTTCATAGGCTATGCTCCAACCACCGAGTCAAACCTGCCAGGGCCTATTGGTGTAATTTTAAGTACACAGAAGCGTGTTTACAATTAGGTAATTTGTCAGAAGCAAGGCTAATCAATGCATAGTCTGAATGGGTCATCTTCACTTCTTGGTGTGTGATTAAATTTGTATTTATGCACCTCCTGCAGTTTCCATTTTGGAGATTTTATTCATTGGTTTTTACCAACATCTGCTCCTCTCCTGTAAGCCTTATGGCTGGGAGGCAGCCACACTTGGGGGTTTGTGTGTGCCTTGTTTCAAGTGAGATCAGCATTTCTCCAAGTCCTGGGAGACAGAAGGGGATGTGAACCCAGAACTACAGCCCCCGCTGTGCGGTCCTATGGCCCTCAGTGTCCAGGGAAGGCACCACACAACCACCTCTTGCCCTTCTGTTCTCTGCTCATGACTGCAGAGTCTCACCTGACTCAGGCTTCTTGGGACAACATAATTTGTTCCCATGGGACTGGGACAGTGATGGATGTGCTAACTCCCAACTTTTCATTGAAGAAAAGTACTTGGGCCCTGGCTGGTTAGCTCAGTGGTTAGAGTGTCAGCCTGCAGTCCAGAAAGACCTGGCTGCAGTTTCTGCCCGGCCCTGGTTGGGGGCATGCGGGAGGCAGCCACTCTATGTGTCACTTTCACATCAATGTTTCTCTCTCCCTCCCACTCTACTTAAACAAAAAATGGAAAAATGTCCTCTGGTGAGGATTAAAAAAAATAATACTTGGTTCAAAAATTTCCCATCAGCCCCTAACTAGGTGTTCAGATGTGAGCCAGCCAGATGCCCCACCTGCTCTCTGCACCTGGCAGCTCCTCCCACCTGGGACAACTGCCTCATCTGCACACATCCCACCTCCATGTCCCCTGCTGACCCTGAGCTGCCTCCTTCACCCTGGTGGAAATGTATTCACCCTGCATTCTTTTTTTTTTTTTTTTTATCTTCACCTGAGGACATTTTTGCATTTATCTTCATATAGAGCAGGAGGAGAGAGGGAGGAAGAGAGAGAGAGAGAGAGAGAAACATCGATGTGAGAGAGAGACATCGACTGGTTGCCACCCACATGACCCCAACCGGGTCCGGTGACAAACTGCAACCATGGTATGTGCCCTTCTTTAGTGGGAACCGAACCCGGGTCTCTCTGGTCCGCAGGCCAACACTCTAACCACTGGGCCAAACTGGCCAGGGCTCGCCCTGCATTTGTGTCATGATAATTTATCTACCATCATCTCAGGCTGTTAGCTGTAATAATCATAAAGAAAGAGAAATAGGTCAGGATTGAAAATGAGTTTAGCCATTAGGAACTGTCCCTGTGGAAGAAGAGTCACAGAGGGTCAGGGTGTCAGAAAGGGAGCACCTCAGTGGCCTTGCAATGCAGCCCCCTCTCCAGGGCGCCATCCTGTCCAAACAACTGAGACTTGAGCTGTGTTGTCAGGGAGGAGACAGTGGTGCCAGGGAGTCAGGGAAGGGCCAGCGTCATTATCCATTGGAACATTACATTAGTGACAAGTAAAGGCTCCAAGGCTCAGAGATGGGACTATCTATCAACAGATTAATGGTGATGTTCCTTAAAAAAAAAAATGTATCTATCTAATATTAAAATAAAGAACCTTCTCACTGAGATCAGTGGCTCTGATATACGTAGCTGAGAAAAGGTGGTTACTAGTCCATGTGTTCAGGTTTTACACTGGAAGGTGAAGAGTCCAAATGCAATGTTCTGCACTGAACCACAGCTCACAGGTATGCTGGGCCTGAGAGATCAGCTTGACTTGGGAGATATGTTTCTCCTGGAGCTCCAGGGTACACGCCACCCAGTCACGTGGAAAGTCCGCTGACTCAGCTTTGACAGTGGCATGAATGGCCACTTCAGCGTCCTGGGTTGTTACTATGCAGTGTGGCCGTGCTTTTTAGGTATCACTTTCTGATTCGCTCACATGGAGATTTGTGGGGGATTACAAAGTATCACCCAGAGAAAGCAAAAAATAACCAAATACGTTTGATAGGTTGCAAAGACATCTGAAGCCTTGGGTGGAGGAAACACTAACTATAAGGCAAGTCAGATGTTTATGTAGTTTTAGATGTGCTTAGTCTAGTTGGGAGTTTATTCCTGTTTAGAAAGTTAACGTAAACTTTGGAGAATGAGCAGTGTTTATTTTAACATTGTAACCAAATTTTGTTGACATTGTTATTGTTTCAAGTAGTTTAAAACAAATTATCACATAGTTTTTGGTTCCATTTGAATTAGCTATATTTTCCCCTTTCTTATGTTGTAGCTTCTGCTTCAGGGAAGGAATCCGGGTGTTGCCTGGGAATACTCAGTGCCTCGACGGGCAGGCGAGAAGAAGCCCAGCGCCCAGCCCAGCTACACGTGGGCCATCGTCCGCTCCGAGTGCTCCGTCTCCTGTGGAGGGGGTAGGTCACGTCTCTGTCCTCTCCTGGTGGTGGGCACGGAGGTGCCTGGATCAGGCTGTGACGTGTGCTACACTGGTCCTCATCATGTCCTAAGGAGTAACCCAGGGTGTCTGCCTGACGGGGCAGAATGTTTCCAGAGGTAGAGAGGATAATACTGTCCTGAGTACCACTTAAAGGCCTCAGCTACCTTCTCTGGTTCATCTGCATTAGCATGTAGCTTTGAGGAAGTTGTTCAGTGAATTGGTTTCTGCTTTCCATCTAACTTAAGGGCTTTCAATGAATAGTTTTGTTATGAGGTTATTAAAATGAAAGTCACTCAACTTATACATATTATGTTGATGATAAATAAAAGCTCGCATGAAAAGCATAATGATAAAGAGTGAATTTTTAAATCAAATGATCTTGTTCGAAAAATTCCGTGGGAAGAAATTAACTATAAAGTTGGGTGCTGAAACTCATAGAGAAACTATAAGAATTTTATTAAAGTTGCAGTGAAAGTGACAAGGAACAACATGTCAAGAAAATTCCCCATGACAATGGATGGCTTTTTTATCTCACCACGATGAGAATTAGAAGCACATGTGTAAATTGTTGAAGCTAATTCACTAGAAGAGCATTTTTAGCTAGAGTCAGTAAGTACTATCTAGTAAAGAGAAGCAAGTAAATATTTTCAAATTTAGAAACAAAATAGTAAATACTGTCTGACGTTTTGAAAACACGAATTTCCACTTGAGCCAGTGGATTTCAGCTTTCTGCATTCCAAGTTTTAATAACCAAGGAATTAATTCAGACAGTACTATATTTAAATGTAAACATGACCCACAAGTGAGAACTTGCAAATAAAGAATGTAACAAATGAATATAGAAAAAATAATAATGAACTCACATATTCTCAATAAAGAAATGAAGAAAATAAAGGAAAACTGAAAGATTAACAAAAAATATTATGGTCCAAAAAGTTAACGCTATGTACTTGACATAGGTTAATTTTTCCCATTTTAAACAAAGAATGAAGTATTCAAATTATATTTAAATTCTGAGCTTTCTAAGGAAAAATGTGATTACCTTTGCACAGGAGGATAGACAGCTAGAGGCTCTATTGGCAACTATAAAGCTCCTCACCTCTTGTTTCACTCAAGAAACACTATCAGGGTCCTGGCCCATAATTCAGCTGGTTAGAGCATCGTCCAGATATGCCCAGGTTTTGGATCTGATCAGAGCACATACAAGAATCACCCAATGAATAAGTGGAACAACATGTCAGTATTTCTCTCTCTCTCTCTCTCTCCTCTCTCCCTCTCTCCCCCTTCCACTCTCTCTCTGTAAAATCAATTAAAAAAAAACAAAAAACAAAAAAAAAAAAACCATTATCAGTGGAGGAATAATTTCTTTTGATTTAAAGTGGTCCCATTTCCTTACTGGCTCTAATAGACCCATCTCTCTATGGAAAATAAGATTTCCTGACCGACGCAGGTCAAAGAGTGCCTTTTATCTGCTTTTCTAACAAGCTTACTCTGCTTCTTTTACCTGTCACTCACGTTTAGATATGACCACATTTTTTTTTTTTAATTTTAATAATCCTACTCAGTTATGCCCTGACTGGATTCTCAGTCAGGGTCTGGGGCACTGGTGATGGGATAAGGACTTACACTGAGCAACACGGAGCCAAGAGACTGTTAGGAAACAGTTCAGCTGGTTATGTCAGACTCTTAAGACGGAGACTTTGTGACATGGTGATGGCTTCACTACTCTCTTGTTTACAACGTATGCTGTCATTTTCTAAAACCAGCCTCTGTGATTCATTTGGTTCGGTGCATTTCAAATCACTAACCTCAGATTTACTTTCAAATGAAAATGCTTATTAAAATTTGGCTTACCATTATGTTATAAACTCCAAAATGCACAATGCAATGTCTTGATTTCTTTTTTTCCAAATGAAAACATTCATTTGTTTCACAATTAAAGTTCTTCCGACAAACCTTAAGCCTGGCTTTTAAACCAGCCTCTCCTCTAATTTTCCAGCAATATTCCCTGCACCATCTTCAGATATTTCTAGGGATTAAACTTTAATTGATTTAACAATTAGATTTAGAAAATAGAATAGAATCATTAGCAGCCTCGCCCTTGTTTGTCGACGTCAAACCATTCATTCATTCATTCACTCATCGGTTCATTCTCTTGTTCGGTCAGGAGATGTTTGTGGGTATGGATCTGAACATCAAGCTGCTTAATGCCAGATGAGGAAAATACAGAGATCTTTACTTAATTCCATCTGTCTCTGAACTGAACAGTGAAATACCAACACAAATGTTACTTTACATAAAAAGTATTTAGAGATTTTTAGAAGTATAGCTAATTGAAATATGGTACATCTGTATATCTCAAGCAAGAAATTGAGTATTTCAATCTGGCAATTCTTCCTTAAATGTGCAAGGCATTGCACTGAGTTCTGAGACTATAACAAAAAATGGCATGTCCTGGCCTGGACTCAAAAAGATATGCAACCCAGAGAGAGGAGATACCATATACACATGCACAGCCACTCAAGATTGCAGAATGTGTCCTGTGAAAACTTGGGGCGGACCTCAGGACTGTGGCCGGAGAGTGGTGGTTTAGCTGCACCTTCCATGTCTGTCTGGGAGCTGGAGAGCTGAGGCAGCCTGTGGGTAGCAACAGTGCTTTTCCATTCCTATTACTCGTCTAATTGGCTAACATCTCTAGATCTTTTTCACAGGGCTGCTTCAAATGAGATCTTTCCCATCCTTCCTTTGTATGCTATAATGTTCAGAATTTTAGAGTAAGTGAACATTTTCCTTGATTAAAACTTAACTTCAAGGGTCTAGCTTGTCAGGTCCCAGAGATCAACTTAAAATCATCTGGCTCTTTCCTCCCTGACTTGTGTCACCACCTTTGAGCTGAGTTCATAAAAATGCCTTTGTATCTTTATCCAAGACCCTGATAGATTATGAAAGGTATTACCCACCCCTCTGCTCCCTGTGTGATGCCCACCCCTGTCTATTTCTTCAGGCATGCTCAGAGGTCTAAGTAAAAGGAAGAATCCCACCTCTTCCCAAGGAGCAGGAATCTTGTCCTTTTCCTGAATCTCGCCAATTCCCACAAACCTCCCTTCATCAGGGGTTTTGGGTGCAAGTGTCTGTCTTAGGTCCAGCCCCTCTCACTTTCCCATCACGTGGTCGTGGCCAGCTCCTCTCCACTGTCCTCCTGCTGTGGCTGAGTGTGTGCACATGTGGCCCGCAGTCCTGCTGCCTGCCTCTCTGCTGACCAAACTGGGACCTTATGAACAGGTAATAACAACCAACAGGATGAGCAGCACCTCCCTCTGTCATTCTGACAGGTCGGTGCTGTCAGGGAAATTGGAGAGTTTGGCCAGTTCCCTCTTAAGCAGATCAGATGCATGGGGATGTCCTGGGCCCTCCATAAATAGCCATAGTCTCCACCATTCGAGCTCTGGTGCACGTTAGGTGTCGTACACTCAGCGATCACACCAGGCAAACTCGCTCACACACAGCATGGAATCCTTTGGAATCTGAGCTGCTCCCAGGAATGCTCCCACTCTGGTGTCCTGGGGGGTCCTCCCTCTTCCAATTTCAGAGTCTTTACACTCATGTTCACAGGCCCGCAACACATCTAGTGCTTGCTGCAGTAATGACGCATGCTTCTCACAGCACCATGTGCATTTATTTGTGGACTATTCTCTAGTTCTCGGTGTAGTTTTATTTAAACGATCATTTTCCAAGGCTTTGCGTAACAGCTGGAATTAATTCTATAGTTAGCATTATTGAAAACTTGGAGATTATTTGATCAAATTATAGTCTTTAAGACTGGATACTCCTCTTCCAGATACTTTGGCAAAATGTGAAGATTTTAAAATGCTTTCCAAAGAACTGGCCAGGGCTGGTTTTTGTGAAAACAAAGGCAGCGCCTGGTCACATTGATCATGACACTCAGCACCTTCCATGGCCAGGAGTCAGCTCTGGGCTTTCCAGCTAAGGGTGCTCTCTCTGACTCTCTTACATTTACCTTTGAATGGTGTACTCTTCTCTCTTATCTGTTAATACGGATCATTTTAGAAAAGTGGCTTATTCTGGCATCTGCATAGACGATGTTATATATCTTTCTGACAAAATATTGAGTAATTGTAAGAGCTGTTGAGAAATTGCTTCACAGATGTGCCCTTAGTCAGAGAAATAATACTTGACTCTTTGTAAATGTTCAGCTGTAACATAATTATCTACCACCCCCTATAAAAATATAACTTGGAAATCCTAAGTCCTATTGGACATATGACTATGTATATTTTCATTTTTTCAGAATATTCAGATATTTGAAAAACATCAAAGGAAAAAACATTTAAGTTTATTTTTATGTCCATTATTGTTTATATGGGCTGGGAAAATGAGTTTTAAATTAAAATCTTGAGCATCCCTACCACCTACAAACAGATTTGACCTCACGACTGTGTTCACCATGCACGGCCAAACATTTAGCTCACCCACATTTCAATGGGGCGTAAAGCACATGACTGGTGTCACCAGGCTGTATCCCTGGGGAGAATCTTATCTTTTGGAAAATACTGGGGCTTCATTAGACATCCAAAGCCAGGAGTCTGTAGACCAGAACTCCCCAGCCTGGTCAGATGGTGCTCAGCTGCCTGAGGGCACTCACTCTGGGATGGTGGGCACTGGGGTGTGCTCTCTCCCCTTGGCTTGCTAAGTGCTGCTGAGCATCTCTCCAATTAAGAGAAGGTGCAGTTGAGCCTTGTCACCTCAGTTTTAATAAGCTAGGACTTGGGCATTCCTGGTCAATCCAGTAAACACCTGGCATGTCATGTTTTATTCATCTGTGTGTTCATATGGACAGTCACCCCAAGGCCTGGGGAACCTGGTCCGTGGGCTCAAAGTGTGCAGCTAACAAGAACACCTAGCCAACAACCCCCTCACCCTGCCTTGGCTTCCTCCTTTACTCATTATCTGACTTAATCACAGTAAAAATGCAGTGAGATGTTGGGTACAATTATCCTCTTGAAACAGGTAACTGGCTGTAGTATGACTGCAAAGATATTTCTTATATACGTTCCCAAGTCAATGCCCAGAATGCCCAGGACCTGGGCACACTTACTGCATCAAAAGGAAAACATGCCTTGCAGATAACAGACTTGAACAGTCTCCCATCTCACCATTCTATAAGCTACTGCTTTGGTTTTTCCCCCTTTCTTTGGCCTTGATTCTTTTCTGTATCAGCTTTACATTTGCAAGCTTTCTCGTTGCTTTGAACCCTTTCTTGGGTTGGAGGAAGGGGCTTTTGTCACCCAGCGCCAGTGTTGCCTGCATCTTCGGCTTGTCTTTGCCATGCTCTTCTCACCTCCTCTGAGCTCAAGGAAGCCCTTCGGCAGCAGGCCGTGGTCCCTCGCCACCCCAAAACAGTGCCACCCACGATTTCCTCAGCTGGGATACTCGCCTTCATGGCTTTATCACACCAGACGTGTATATATGTCCGTTTTGTTATTTGCTGTACTCTTTGTGGTTTGGGTTCTGTGACCGAGATGGAAGGGACTTTGGTGGACATTGGTTCATGACATGTGCTGTTTGTCATTACCTGCTGTGTCCTCAGAGTTTAGCACAGTGCCCTGCACATACCAGGCGTCAAGTATATACTTGTTGAATAAACAAACGCCAGATCTTAGCCACTTACTGATTCATGAGTAGGCAAGGACCACATGTGGGAATGGTGATGGGGGGTCAGCCTGCTGTCACCCTGGAATTTGTGCCCCTCCATGGTGGTGGCTCTTAGACATGACTTTCATCACTGAGAATTCGAGCTCCCTTGCTTCCATGGAAACATAGTTCTAAAAATTGTCCTTGGTCTATGAAGAGTTCTGAAACAGAAAATGTCATGAATCTCTTTCTGTGTCAAATAAAAAGCAAACAAATGTCTACATGTGTATGCAACATTGGACCCAAAGAAGGTGAGCTGTAACACACAATGTGGTGTTTTGGGCCATAATCTCAGGGGCCAAGTCCTGGTCCCAAATCTTAAAAATTCATGATATTATTAGGTACTTAAGCCTTTTACAGCTTAATAAGCCCATCCATAAAACATGGATAATACTGTGACTACTGTATAGGGGTCCTCTAAGGGTTAGATGAGAGAATACCTGTTAAACTCTTGGCACTTTATCGAGGCAAATAAATGTCAGCTTCTTTTCTTTTCTGTTAATGTTATAGCTTTGCCTAAGGAATTAGACAGTTTAGGTTATGAAACTCTTATTTTTAAATTTTTTTTTTTAGACATAGAGAAAGAAGAAGGGGGGCGGGGAGAAACATCTATTTGTTGTTCCACTTGTTTATTGGTTGATTCTTGTTTGTGCCCTGACCGGGGATCAAACCTTGGTATCTCGGGATGACACTCTTCACCATCTGAGCTACCTGGCCAGGGCTGTTATGAAGCAAGAGGGAATTTTGTAATGATCTTGTTATTCTTGTGGCCCCAGGGCAGGGCTGATAAACACATATCTCCCTATTTTGGATTATGCTGTCATCTTGAGAGGCGTGTGTGTTTGTGCACATACGTGCACACACGAATGCACTTGGAGAGGTGTGTGCACATATGTGTGCATGGGTGTCTGTGTGTCCATGAGTGTGATGGCTTGTGTCCTCTGTGGCTGAGTGGTCAAAACATGGCTTGCCTATTTCCTACTGGAACGTGGCAAATTCAACAGCCAAGCAGACAAATTTAAGTCTGGGTAAATCTGAATCCAAGATCTTGAGTATATATATATATGTGTGTGTGTGTGTGTGTGTGTGTGTGTGTGTGTGTGTATATTACATGCATATGGTGAGCTTAAGTCTCCAATTAAGGACCCCAAAAAACCCTTTGAAAAAAGGCATAAACATTACCCAGGAACATGACAGTAATTTCTTTCACTTAATTGTTAGTTTTCACCATTTTTCCTACAGGACAATGTGTTGATAGACCACAGGAAAGCAGGACTTCGGAGAGGAGATGAAGGGAAGTCTTAAGGGAGAACTGAACTGATAGGAGCCACTTAGAAACTAAGGGACAAAATCAGAGATGTGAAAGGAGACATGGGAATGCTCTTAGCCAAGCCTGTGGGTCCAGCTTTTCAGGTCCTAGAGCAAAGAAAAGACTCTCTGATCTCATGGAATTCTTGCTAGCTCTGGATGAATGTGAAAAATGGTTTCTTAAACCTAATCCTGTTCCCATGGAGCCTGGCCTGGGGACACCTGGATGTTGCCTAAGAGTTCAGGTGTGCATGTCCCAGCACAGCTCCCAGAGCAGAGCCTGGTGTGGCGAGGCCGCGACGTCGGGCTGCCTCCCTGCTGCTTCTGCACAGGGGGATTTAATCGGGCCAACCACTCCCTCTGTTTCTTGTGTGGGGGTATGTGCTCATGCTGTGGTGTCCCACACGAGTCGCCAACCCCATCTTTGATCTCCCTGAACCTATATATTAGAGCAAACATTGGGGCTGCAAACTTACCAGAGTGCTTGAAACACTCATTTTCAGTACCATTCTTTTGCTTTGTGAGGTTGAAGTTCTTCTTCAGTGAAAACCAACTTGACCTTCTTGACATAAGTGTTTAGGGACATTCATTATATATGATTTAGATCTTATATGTGAATTAGTTTCTTCATAGAAATCTCTCCTTCCAGATTCTCAGTAGGTTTAAGTAAATTTTCTTATATTACTACAGAAGTATTTCATGACTTTTATCAAATTCATTCTTTTTTAATCCTCACCCAAGGACATGCTCATTGATTTTAGAGAGAATGGATGGGAGAGAAAGTGGGAGAGAGAGAAACGTCCATGTGAGAGAGAAAAATCAATCGGTTGCCTCCCATACACACCCCAACCAAGGATTGAACCTGCAACCTAGGTATGTGTCCTGACCATGAATCGAACCCGCAACCTTTCAGTGTACAGGACAACACTCCAACCAACCGAGCCACACCATTTGGGGCTCAAAATCATTTTTAGTAAGCCATTCTTGATCAATGATTATTAAAATCAGGAATAAATATTTGTAAAATTCACCAAATAACCTTTAAAATACAATTGTTTCAAGTTAGCAGAGAGTTGCATAATTGCACAAAACTGTAAATGTCCCATGTAGCCACCTTTTCATTGTCCCCATGGGCTTAAACCCCAGGCGGTGGGTGTTTTGGGGCTCAGACCCCTGAGCTTCACCTGGCTCTCTGCTTAGACTCTGGACGCTGCTCCTCCTCTTGCCACTTAAGAAAACTGGAAAGAGGCTGTCACTCTGCCCATAGACTTGCCTTATTTCTTTTGACAAAGCAGAGCCAAAATGTCAAACTTGTTTCCAATGCATGTTTGAGAGACTTTTGCTTTTCCTTAAGTAAAGAAGGGTTTGGTTTGAAATGAAATCGAGAGTTTAGGTGGCTGGGCCTGGGGTCGACAACCTGGGGCCTAGGGTTGACAACCTGCGACCTGGCTCTCCTGAACCATCTCTGTGAGCTTTTCCTTTTCAAGCAAACTCAGGATCTGCCTGGCAAGGGGGAGTCCGGTTCAGTGCAGGACATCGTCCTGTCATTCCCCAGCCTGGGCTACAGGAAACAGAGAACAGATGGGCCATACAAATAGTATGACTCCATCAATTTTTCCAAGCAGAGTGATAAAATTATAGTAGCCCTGTGAATTCTCTAGTGATAAAGAGCCCATTGTTATTTTTGTCTGTATTTCTTTCTGGCTTGTTACTGATTATTTCCTATTGCAACCTCTCGAATGGACACATAAGTCTGGCATAGTTAGTATTGTGTTAGTTTTGAGAAGTGACTGGTATTTCAACCACAAAAACACAGAAAAGAAGTAATATGTTTCATCAAAGGTATGTTCGCATAGACTGCAAAACCCATGTTGATTTGAAAGAATTTCAAATGTAGGGGGAAATGCATGTATTTTAGAACTAAAGAAATAAAAATCATTTTTACTAATAAAAACCATGAAGACTGGTCAGAAAAGTAGAATGAGAACAGTTGGCCAGTTGGTCAATAACACAAAGACATGCAAATAAGGTCAAGTTTTTTTCCATGAACTTCATTAGCTCTTCACCTGCCTTTTACCATGGGGCATGTCTGTGAGCCTCTATCATGAATCTCACCCTTTCATACAGGGCAGATGACCACACGAGAAGGCTGCTACAGAGACCTGAAGTTTCAAGTAAACACATCATTCTGCAATCCCAGCACCCGGCCTGTCACAGGGGTGGTGCCTTGCAGAGTATCTGCCTGTCCTCCCAGGTAAGAATCGCCATGTTACGGGAACCAGTTTTGCAAATATACTTGGGGAGTCATAGGAACTCCTGTGTCCAGAGGGTAGAAGCACTGAGTACTGCCACATAAACCCTAAGAGAAAAGAGAAAAAAGTCACAAGGACTGAACAAGTGAAATTAAAAAGTTGTCTGGGAAATTTTATGAATGTCAGTAGAAGTTCTTAAGTAGCATCCTGTTCAATTTTTACTTGAGCCTTCCTTCTGTCAGGGGTGATAGTCTACTGTGGGGATAGTAATGTTTTAGCTCCCAGCCTCCTGTCTCCTGTTTTGTTTTGTTTTTTATATTTTAAGAAATTTATTGGGGTGACATTGGTTAATAAAACTATATAGGTTTCAAGGGTACAATTCTATAATACATCATCTATATGTCGCATTGTGTGTAAAGTAAAAGTCAAGTCTCCTTTGTCACCGTATATTTGACCCTATTTACCTTTTTCTCCCTCCCCACCCCCGCTTCCCTTCTGGTAACCACCATACTTATACTGCTGTCTGTTCTATGAATTTTTGTTTGTTTGTTGTTTTCAGTTTTATATCCCACATAGTAGTAAAATCATATGGTTGTTGATGTTTTCCATCTGACTTTTTCCACTTAGCATGATATTTCCAAGACGCACCCATGTTATCACAAACGGAAGTATTTCATCTTTTCTATAACTTACTGACTGAAACCAGTTCGAAGGACCCATGCACAAGGCTTCCCGGGTGGTAAAGGGAGTGTGGATGACTGTCACGCGCTGCACGCGTGCACATATGTGAGACGGGGTGCAGAACACCTGGCTCTGTCCTTCTGTCATGCCGTCTTCAGCACTGCTGCCCCAGCTGTGTCTAAACAAAGCTTAGTTTTCCTGAGACAGTGGCCTGGGAAGGACCCAACGAGGTAGCCACGGTTCTGCCCTGCTCTCATCAACCATCGTGCCCTTAGTCTCTCTGCTCCTCACTTTCTTCTTTTTGGGGGGATACTTCACACGGGAGTGTGTGAAAGTAATCTTAGTAACAGGTTTGTGAAATGAAGGTCTTACACCACCTAGTGCTTCAGACAGCCGAGGCACTACATACAAACTAGTCTCACGCATCTTCATTTCAAAGACACTCAATCACGGGATTTGGACCCCAGTCTGCTGCACTGACCTCCAGTCCTAAAATGAATGCTCTTCCTGGAAATGGTGACATGACGGAGGGTGAGAGACACTGTCTGCCTCCTTCTCTGACCTGTGTGGTCCCTGGCCACTTGCTCAAGATAGCGATGAGGCCACCTATCAACATTTGAGGTGCTGGGATCTTTCTTCCCACTAGGGCGCTGGGATGGGCATCCCTGGAAAGATCCTGTACGCCCAGCCCACCTGCACCTTCAAGGGCTGGGGACCCACCACTTCACTGAGTCACTGGCCCTGCCTCAGCCAGGGGTCCCCATCTTCCCTCCCAGCTTGTCATCTGGCTGGCAGGATGCCAGAAGAAGAAGTGAGGCAGGTCCCTCTGTTCGCTTCCTCCCCCTCCTCCTCTCACCCCTCCATGGGTTGCAACTGGCCTGGCCTTAGTGGTCCAGCTCTACTCATGTGGGCAAGGGCCACCTGCAAGGTGTGGGGAGTCACAGGATGGAGGAATCCCTGTGACCCCTGGAACATCTTCCTACCAGCTTGGGCTTCCCCCTGAAAGGGACACGCCCCCTCCCGGGTTGTGTGGTCTCTGTTGGTGCAGCTAAGCCATTCTCCTAACTCCTACGTTCCTACCTGTGAGACCTCCGTCCCAACTCTCCATTCTGGCCACCTCTCACACCTCTGGGCATGGCGGCTCATGTGCGCTCACACCCACACTCCAGTTCGTGTGTCTCCCTGGGGCACCAGCATTGCTACCCCTCACTATCCAGGACACTGGTCCCACCCCAGTCCAGAGTCCATGAGTAGTGCTGTCACCCTTCTCTGGACAGCTGGCTTAACCTTTTTCCCCAATTCTTCCACAGAGATCCAACCTGGCTACACCCTGCTTTTCACCCACTCTGCACATAGAGCTCAGTTGCTAAATACTTCCAGGAAATTTACAAGCCTCTGTTCTTACTCAGAAAAGTATGGTCACCAGTGCACGTGGCCACCCCAGGATGGCAGCCAATCCTAACACCCTTGCTCAGTCATTTCCTCCCTCCCAAGACAATGATTTGACATTCCCTCCAGTCTCCTCCAGCACTTCTCCTTCTCCTGATTCCACACGCTGAGCCCACAATCTCAGACCTCAGAGATGGCAATCAGGAAGTGACCACCGCTTCCTCCCACGATCAGCCCACCTGGGGACCTGCCCTCACCCTGCCCTCCTCCTTCAGTGGGCCAACATCTCACTTCTTCCCAGGAGCCTTCCTAGACTGTGTCTCTGGTTCCTCTTTTGTTTCATGTTCCTTTATTTCTTCAAGGAAAGATTTTTAAATGGATGTCGAATTTCTCTTATGCTCTGTTGTAAACATGTGTGTATTTAAAGAGGTACTAATTTTCGCTCTAAGTGACCTGCTCTGCCCATGGCTTTACTCACTGGGCCTTCTCTGCTTCCCCACAGCTTGTCCTTGTGGGTTCGAGGGATCTAGAGCCAGGCATCGCTGTGTTCTTCTATGTCTTGTATTCTATACTTACCTCGTTTGGGTCCAGTGTTATAGGTAAATTCTGGCAAAAGCTCTGTGTGCTGATAGGAAAGGCACAGTTCAGGGCAGAAGGGTCTGTCTGGGAAGTTGAACCTGGTGTATGGGAACAGCAGGTAAAAAACACACTGAGAGCTCACCAGACTCACCCAAGAAACACTCAGAGGCCTCAACTTAACTCTTTGATTTACATGACTCACGTTTTTGAATATGTGCATTTTCTCCTTAAAGAGAAGGCTTTGGAAGAGGATACAAATCCTGGCTGGAAACCTAATGCCAAACTTTCCTCCTGGGAGAATCCTCAGGACAAAGGTGGTTCCTGCCACACCCCAGCCGATTGCAGGGGCTGGAGGACAGGCAGGCCCCGCAGGGTCCTAGGGTACAGGTAGGACAAATATCCTGACTCCCATCTCTCACCTCTGCTTGGAGTGGACGTAGTGGGCCTGGGTGGCCACACAGAGTATGGTACACACTGGGCAGGCTGCACGTGATTACAGGTATGGGCTATGCAGCCACCAACCTGGGTGCAAACCCCCCTTCATCTGCCCATCTCTTACGTAATCAGGGGACATGGAGAATATGCTGAGGGAATCCACATAAATGCTCTTAGCATAGCACATGTACTAAGTGCTCAATAAATCTTGGCTGTTTTAATTTTGCTGTAAAAGGAGAAACAAATTCACATCAGTTACTTATTTAGCCTGTGAAGTGAAACTATCAATGACGAAGCACAGAAAAATGAACCTACATTATATATATTAATCCTTGTGGAGTTTTGTTTTAACAATTGAATTGGGAAAATAGATCTTAATTTAAAAAGTTGCTTTGTTTTCCTCTGAGATGTGAGATACATTTCTCTCTTGCCCAGAATACTGACAATTTTTTGTTCCTGATTAAGTGGGCAGAAAGCCCCAGTTTTATTTTTCTGAACATGAGAGCGTGTTTTTCTTATTAGAGCCTGTCTCCGATGGGGTGTGGGGGTGCTCTCCAAGCCCTGGTGTCCTGTGGTAACCCTCCCGTGGCCTCACAAAGCCAGAGTGACTGCAAGGGCTCATTCTCTCACATCTCGCTCAGCGGACTAAATGGCAGGATGCAGTGGGGTACAATGTGGTGTTTCATGTTCAATTTCTAGGAAAGTCCCAAAAGGACAGGAGAGTGGGATCTTTAAAACACCTTAATCCACAGCCCTCCCATTTGCAATTTAAATGAAAAAGGGAAAAAAAAAAAAAACTGCTCTGCTGGTTCGAACCTCCTGTGTCAGCATCCAAATGGCATGCCTGGGCAGTGTCTTAAGGCTCCCTAGTTGGAGTACTGTCAAACTCCTGGGTCATTAGCAGGATGGGGATCCCAGGTTGTAAATCTCTACAGGGGGCAGAGTACTAGGAGTCCAGGCGTCTCCTTGCTGGAGGAAGATGATCTTAAAATGTCTGGTTGGCTCCAGCCAGCAGGAGTATCATGGCTAAGTGACAGGGCTTAGGCAATTCCCAGCTGCTCCTCCGGAAGGAGCTGAGCGGACACACAGCCTCTGGTCTCCCTCCTTGCACCAGGCAAGGCTGGCCCTGCAGTGGCCTTGGAACAGACCAGCAGTGCGCAGCAACCCCCGCCCATAGCTCAGCTGCCTCTGTCTTCATTTCAGCGTGAATCAGGCATTTTTATCGCTTGCTTTTGAAACATGAACTATAAATCACACATATATTTATTTCCTTTCTGTTTCTCAGTTTATCTAAGTGGAGTGGCTCTCCATGTCATTTATCTTAACAAGCTAGTTTTCAGAGCATAAACCCACAGTATGTGTGCTTTCCTGGACAATGGCTTGAAGATTCAAGAGGAAATACTTTCCAGATGGTAAAAGGATACTTTTCCCTTCCCCGCAGTATTCTTCGAGGAATGCAGAAGAAAGATGAAAAATATTATAATCAAATGCCTCATTTTCTTATTTTAGCAATCTGTACAAAGGTGTCTATCTCTGTAATCCTCTGCACGTGATCTGTGGATGGTCATATTATTGTTGCCTCTACTGTGGTGACTCCGTACCAACCCGTTAGCAGAATGGTTTCTTTTGCAATCAAGATAACTAGGTCAGTGACTACATTCATTGGGTTGCATGCTGTAGAAATGGAAAATAAGATCCAACAGGGTAATTTATTACTGATGCTCTCCTTATGACAACACTTCTAATGATAGGAAAGGGGCAGTCATTTCGTGTGTGTCTCATCTCTTTTCGATATCACCCATGAAAATATGACCACCCAGGGGTATATAGGCCACCAAAGGAATGAAAAGAACCCTGATCATGAAGGTGGTATGGAAGGGTTTAACTCATGGGAATGCCAAAAAAGGGAGCGTTTCAT